TTTAATAAGTATTCGTGCCTTCGTAGTATTATTATTGAAAACTTAATTCATCGTAGTGCGACCCTGTTTTCGTGTGGTTTCGTGTGTGTTCAAGTGTCTTCTATATTTGTTCTAATTCCTGCGTAAGTGTAACTTGTACAGAGGCATTACAACTTCTCATTGTATCTTATCGATTTCACAAAAATTATCTAGAAAGCTACCTCAGTAATATTGATTGATATTATCTTCCAAAGCTAAAATGAATCAATATAACTCAGTGTAAACGTGAGTAAACCTCTCAATTAAAACGTGTAATGGCCTTAGACTTTTTCGAGTCTTCTTTTATAAATGGAAATTTATGTTTATGCGTTCATTTTATTGTTACGAAACTTTGGGAAGTTCCTGTACGGACATACGAAGGTTCATGACCCAGAACAAGAGAATTTTCTTTGTACGTTCGTTCCCTATGCAAAAAATAATAAATAAACTAACAAATGCCTCGTAATGCAACGAGTGTGTAGTATTATTGTAAATGTCGTAATTTTTTCTCTTAAATTAAACTCATTAGTTATTGTTGTAGTTATATTGAGAGCCATTGAAATTCTGTGTTCGGGCAGTATCTAATCGATTAAATGTATCCGAATGTATTGTGCAGCTTCTAAGGCTAAAATATCACAGGGTGAACTTATGGGAGTTATGGTGAAACTGTTACGGCTCAGTATGCATTTTAAGCGATAAATTATACCCCGTAAAACATTAATTATATGAATACTTGCCATATACATATGTATAATTACCTTAACTAATAATACGAGGAATTTAGATCCGGGTGAATTTCTTTAGTATTGTGACCAAGACAATTTAAAATGTTTTGAATATCGATTAACGTATCGTCAAAATTTAAAGTAAGGTGCCGTAACAGCACCTTACGATTTACTTATTGTAACACACAAACAGATATAATAGAAAGGAATGAACTAATATTTTGCATTTATCAAAGTCAAAGTCAAAGTATCGTTATTCAATGTAGGCTTAACTTAAGCTCTTATTGTACGTCAACAAAAAATCTACCACCGGTTCACTAAACCAGACCTGAAATGAGAACAACCGGCAAGATACTGTCTTGTTTTTTTTTTGTTATGCAATTATACAAACTTATTTAGGTATAAAATCAACAGCAGCCGGGGGTCTTGCAAGTGCAGAGCAAGAGTGATTTCCACACATTTCATTCATTACTTGAATGTCATAAACCTAAAAAAAAATATAAAAAATTAAATGCTTCAATTCCTTTGCCTTGCCTATTGTTTCAATAAGTAATTATCACGAATATATTTCGTAAAAATTGAAATACGCCAAAGTGAATCCGTTAAATCGATTAAACACATATGCACATGACAAAATTACAATTGTTCAAACAATTTGGTTCGTTTGTCGAGAGCCTGGCACCATTTTTGTTACAAGGTCCGCCGGAGAAACTTTTTCAATGTTCGCGTCTGCGATAATTTGTAAGTGTACCATCCATTTTATTTTATAAATATTCGTTTTATTACACATAGCGGTTTTTGATCAGAGGAGGAGGTAGGCTTAGCTTCATAACGTAGACTTTTTGTGATCCTTTCTTTATTAACGTATGAGAAACTACGCATACATGCTTCGCGTCGGTAAGGAAGTCGTTATTTATGTGATAAGGTGGCAAGCTAGCTGGTGCTTCACCTAATATCAAATGCTAACCGCTCATGGACATTTGAAACTCCCTTAGGGCTGCGATGTGTTGGAATCTTTTAATAAAGTGGGCTGGTTACCGCACTGAACAGGCGAAACGCAGAACTATAATAACTCTTGCCCTTTACACCAGTCTTCTGAGATCGTGGTTTTTCCTCAGACAGACCTGCCCATTTGTGCAACTGCGAGGACTGTTGCGTTGCCCTGCCACTGTAAGCTTTTTTACATTTTCCATCAGTTGAGCTACTTGCACCATACCATGCCTAAGAAAAAAATGTCAGGTAAGAAAAAATTTATTGCTAATAAAGTACACAATAGCCACGAAAATTATAGTACTTACATATTATATGGGACAAAAATTGCATTCATGTTTATTCAGATGAACGTATTCGATGTTAATGTATTTGTTTTAAGCATTTTATATTTTACGTTATGAAAGATATTCTGTTTTTTTATTCAATTACATGCCAGAAATGTGATAAGATGTTTTTTTTTATACTAGCAACCTTTGATCTTCTTTGTTTCTTATATGGTACATAGTTGATTTCTGATTAATAATATGTTTTTGTGTTACCTGCATTTTAAAGAAACTGTCTTTTAACAAAAGCCCTAGAACTACAAAACGCTGAAGCATATAAATATCCATTCCTCTATTTTTGCCTTTCTGAGTTAGGTTTACTAGTACCTAGTTGTATTTCTGAGAATATTTGTTAGTAGGTTTATGATATGTTTTCACTATTTGTTTTTGATCAATCGTCTTTGAGTTTCATTTCCATCCATTTGCAGCCGAATATTTTAAAACTTCGTATACTTTTATAACGATAACAACTCGATACTTATGATCTATTCATTTTTGTTTGTATATTGTGTAAATTTTTGGACTAAGATCGTCTCAGCTCATAGTGAAAAATTTTACTTACGTTTTCAATCTTTTTAAATTAAAAATCTAGTAAGCATCCGAACTAAAAAGTTCGAGCTTTATTCTGAATGTACACTACAATATTAGACTACCAATTCAACAATCACGCATTAACTTGGGGAAGATATAATAGATAGGTAGCGTGCCGTGCCATTACCCAGCTTTGTTTCACGGATAACTCATTGCTAATCACAATTAGACTGCAAACTCATGATCTCAGTTTGTCCCAACCCCTAAAAGCTTTGACAACAGCTCTAGGCTGTGCTTAAAATCAATTCAAATGCCCTTCAGAAGTATAAAACGTGATTCTTATACGGAACGCTGAAGCCAGGCTAACGCTAAGTTGCCCGCGTGTATTATTCAAATAAATTAGTAATAAATACAAGAATATCTCCTGTCCGTTGCAAGTGGGACAGAGATCTAGCATTACGCGGTTTCCACAAGCTCCTCACCGCACGAACGTATCGCTGTGCCGTACGATTGTATTGTAAATGTGTTTAGTTACATCGAGCTATTGTGGCAATGATGCGAGACTTATAGGTATTGCTTTAGTTTTCATCGCGACCATTGCTAGATTTACCTGTGTTCTAACTAGTCTTCCTTGACATACTTATTATAAGTAATTCTATGAAAGAAAAAGGTTTCTTAAAGAACATCCTTATCTATATAATAATAAACATGAATATCTTACCACAAGTTTTTACAACTTCATTAATTGTACATGTACTAAATTGATCAATTTTATGTAATTTTAAGTTTATTTTCATCTTTTCGGTCAATGAAATAAAAGGTTGTTTTTAAAAAATTATTTTCACCATTAATTATTTTTAATGTTTTAGTTATAATTGGGATGGTTTACAAGTCCTTGCATTTCATTTAATGCTTCGTTGTTACATGGTCGTTTGCCTGTTAATTTAGTACAATCCAACTCTTCATTACCTGATAGTAGCATGTTCTGGCGGTAGCCCGGATTAACAATGACATTCAGACGTCCAACGCCTCAGTCTGTCCCGTGACCATGAACGCTGTAAAGCTTTCGAAACGCGGGTATTAAAACCAAAATAAACGCGATAAATCCGTAAACATTGTCTCATTTTATAACATAGTTTCATGTGCATGGGACATAATTTTTACAGTAGTGAGGTTTGAAGCCATACCCTCAAATGATGCAATATCTACGACGTGTCGAGAAGTATGTTACGTTGCCGACGTTTATGAACGGTCGCGTTACTTACGTAATTTGCTGCATCTACCATCAGAGGGGTGTGGTTTATGAGGGAATGGTTTACGGATCTTTCGATTAACCGTTTTGTTAGTTCTTTAAAATGTTCGCGTTGCGGTGAGAGTGCAATTGTTATAGTTGATGTTACGTTGATACCACGATGACCGAATGACCTGAAGTTTGTAAACGTGTTTCGAATGGACGTGGGCAAAAGATCTAAATTTAGGATAGCCGTAAAGGCTGGAAAATAAAAGCTTATGCCTTAAGGACATATTGACTGACGGGTATAGGGAGCGGTGGGGTAGGGAGTGGGACGACAAGGGCTGGTGATGAGCCGCTGCGTAAATAAAGGTTTAAAGGTGTATAACAATAAAGTAACGGCCAAAAGGCACTTCGTTTCAAAATAATTATAAAGAATGTAGATAAGGCGTGTTATCGTTAGTTTAAGTTGTAATGATATCAATTTGTTATAAAGCATGAAATTATATTCTAATGATGCTAGAAATAATTACGTTGAAAATAAATCAATAGGCAATGTCTTCCTCCCATCTACAATCTCTAATTCGCTTATTAGCGCGCGTATTCACGGACATAGGAGATTATCCTTTTGGTGACTCGCATGCCCGTTTAAACGCTCTTACATAAAAAAAAAAACATATAATTATAGAAATTAATGACCTTAATAAAGCAGCGATAAATATTGTTTTTGAGCCCAGTTAAGCCATCTTATTTAATGCATTTTTTCACATATAATATTACCCTATCTTCAAAAGTACTAACCTTACTAACCTTATGGTACGTTTTTATATTTTATCCAATTATATTTAATATTTAGATATGTGATTTTGTCTTATGACCGAAGGTTCTTTCAGGCAATAAAACATGAAAACTTTTAAATGTCATCTTAACAGCTGCTGTCACTGTCACAACGTCGGCTGTCACAACTTTGAACTTATGAATGAATTCATTATCTCACAGTCCTTAATAACTCTGTGTGTTGTGCTTGTGAACACTGAAAAGTAAAAATATTATTTGTTTCATCAATCGTACGAATGACCTTTAAAAATGTATATTTATGATTTACCATTTCAAGTAAAGAAGGAGTTGTGTAGATTACTAGATATTGATGACAATTGGAAGGAATTAGCTGGTATTCACATGAAATATACGCCGTTTAACGTGATTGTGAGTTATATTACATTTCTACCTATAGCCATTAGGGTAACGTTCGAGTCTTCTGGGTTTCCCCGAGCAAGTATTTGGGTATTTCCAGATTTATAATGTCGATATGTTCGTATTAACAAAACTATTCAGAAAAATGAACAAGATTATAGAAACCTCATGTTATTCAGATAGTAACATTGGGAAAAGAGCAGGTTAAGCTTTCAAGTTACAGTCTGTATTTAATATTTTATGAATGTGACTAATATATAAGCTATTAGAACTCTAAGAATAAATTTATAAAAATATCATGTCAGATATGCCATACTAACATTACAAGTTAAAAATTGAAGCAAATATGTATTGTATAAAATAAATATCAACATATTTTCATACTCTTAAAGTTAATAACCACTTAGAACATGTGAAGAAAGTAATAAACTACAGTGTGACAATTTTCCTTATGGAGTCTGGATTTTAAATAAAAAAAGAAAAGTTATAATATTATTATGTTACTTATTTGGTGACTACATTAACAAATAACATTGGATACAGTTATTTTATGCATATGCAAGGAAATTTTTAATTTAACAACTGGCGTAGTAGGTAAAACTACTACTAATGAAAAGTAATTCATTACTGTTTTGATCTTGGCCCATTTCTTCAGAGGCCTTTATTAATAACATAGAGGGCATATCTTTTAACATAATTGATGCCTTCACAACTCATCGGGAATATTTTTTTTTACAAAAATCAATAAATCCATGGAACTCTGGTCCCTTCTGCACAGACAGCACCTTACAGTAAACATTTTTGGAATCTCTGATTTAATTATGCTATCCTCTTTTAGGAAATTGAGCAAAAAGCAAAACAGACTATGTCATCACCAACTGAACAACTGTTCATCACTTGGGGACAGATAAATCATAGAGTGGAGGAACTATTTATACTTCTTCATCGCATGAAGCACGTACCGGCTCTGCGGTGCCTTGCGCCCGTGGTCGACAGCAGGTTTCACAGGTTGCTCAGTAAACACGAAAATAATAAAGATGGTAGTTCAAAAGACTCTGAAGGTGATGACCGTGAGTTAACAATGTTTTCCAAATTTATGCATGTATGATGTACTTTTCTTGGTTCTGTGGGCATATTTAGTTATTTCTTGTTGATAAGGAACTTAGCTCAGTTTTGTCTAAAATTGTGTTTATTAATCTTGTTTATCCTGTTGTAAATGGTAGTAAGCCATCTTTCAATATACATTATGACTCGCAGAGTCACAGTTACCAAGGTATAGGCTTCGGCGCCAGAGGTCATGGGTTCGATTCTAACACAAGACAACAATTTGTGCTACCGATGGATAATTGTTTCGGATCGGATGTTTGTCTATGTGAAATTTATTTTTGGAAAACGTTCTGAAAACACAGCATAACATTATCTTACAGTAAGAAGGCAATGTTTTCAAGGGAAGACTACAAGATCTTCTAGTTTGTAGTGATCATTGGGATTTACTACTCAATCCCTCTCAAACACATCCTTACTAATATTATAAAGGCGAAAGTTTGTATGTATGGATGGATGTTTGTTACTCTTTCACACAAATACTACTGAATGGATTCTAATAAAACTTTACAATAATATAGCTTATACATCACAATAAGACATAGGCTATAATTTATATACATATTTTATGTATATCTGTCTTTCTGCTTAATGTTACACCTTCAGCCTATTCTACGGACACGTAGTCGCGGGCAGCGGCTAGATACAGTATACATAGAGTTTAAATATTTCATTTCCTGGTTTTCCTGAAAGTTAACTTGTATAAATTGCTTATTTATTTCTATTTGTTCCTTTACCAGATAGCATGAAATTTGCAATAACTTAAACCACATATTCATAATTTTTTTTGTAGCTAGTTTGTGAAGTGACAGCTTAGCAAGCAGGCAAGTGGTTCACCTGATGTGAAATGCTCAACGCTGTCCGTTGATATCGATAGTATTTAAGGGATGCTTTTTTAAAGATCATGTATTTTTAAGCACAATTGCAACCTCACCACCAGACGTTTTGTCTGGTTGGTGAGGTTGCAATTTTTAACCAAACGCAGTTATTATTTGGTATCTATACTTTTCGCGACAGCTTTCTAGAACGTCAACGGTGTCGGTTTTTGCGCAAACATCGAACGCTTTGACTCATTCACTGATTCACTAGTCTGTGGTAGCGTTCACAGTTCACAATTTTATTCCTAATCGTAATGTCTTAATGTGTTTATGTTTTCGTTCATAATTTGATTCGAAAAACAATAAATGAACAACGTTCTATATTGTTGAAACCATTTCTATTATTAAACCGGTATTATGAATGACATGTTTGATTCGCAATTCAGCGAAACGAAGTCTCACAATCGCCAAGAGCATCGTGAAGAGGAAAACACAGTATAAAATTGTACATTGCCACTCAAGGCACATTACGGAGAAATTACCATTCGTGTGTCATGATTTCGATTGTATACTAAAATGAAGTATTCTCCCAAACAATCCCAGTTTTTTATGTTGACATATAGAATAAACAATACTTACAATATATAATAAGAGAAATACACTGAAAGCGCTAACGTCATTTCTCAAAGCAAATACATCTATCTTTTATGAAATGTTATAATTTTTAAGTTACGCGTTAATTCTTATATAAAATTGGGAATGAACAAACGTAATAATGAAACTGTTAAAGTTATATAATGCTGAAGAGTTTGAACGCACTCTCTCTGAAAATACCAGTCGAATTAGAAAAAATCTTTTTGCATTTGGTAGCGCAATTCTTGAGGAAGCTTATAGGGTATTTAACATTACGCCACGGCCTACGGGCGCGAAGCAGAAACGTATCAAGTGGATGTAATCGCACGGAACAGCTAGTAATTACTATGAACGTATAAGGATGACGTGTTTTCTACGTAAGAATCAAGTGTTAGGAGTTTTAAACTGGCTCTGATAGCCTATTGACTTGATCGTTAGCGATTTGATGTCATGAGATTGCAGCCTAATAGATTTTATTATTTGGATTCTCACATAAAAACTGATGCTGTGTAAGATTTATTAGTAAAATAAACTTGTTACAATGCAATCGCTTGAAAAATGGAATTTAAAACAAAGGAACGAGCAATTATCCGGTCTAAGAACCCACTTTAAACCTCAGATTTTATCAAATGATACATATTATAGATAACCCAGACACTAGAACACACTGTTCAACACACAATATTTCTCCAGTAGCTGGATTCGTACCCACACCTGCCACAAGAGGCAGGTTCACTATACATTTTTATCTTTTCCAAGACAGAGACGTGTAGAAAGTCTGCGCTATTATATAGCTCCGTATGTGCTCCGTAGCACATTAGAGGTAAGGTAGGTATTGACTTCTGCGCCAATGGTCGTGAGTTCGATTCCCACATGGGGCAACTATTTTTGTGACCCGCAGATAACTGTTCTGGATGTTTGTCCACGTGAAATTTATGTTTGTAAAATGTCCTTACAACGCAGGAAAATGTTATCCTACAGTTTACACAGGATAATATTATATACATATAAGCAGGTTCTACAGGTTTCTCATTTCCTGCTTTTACATTCCTGAATCATTCTTCACTTTCTTCTCCCAACCCGTCGTACAATCTCATTCAGACTAGACTGCTATAATCACAAAGTTCTTGCTGTTATACGCATGTGTCTTGTGTGACTTGTATCAATAGCACTACGGCCTTTCAAAAGACGGGGGCGTGAACTAGAAATTGAATTTGTTAAATAGTATTTACGTTCTCGCTTTCGTCCGAGCGAGGTAGCCAGGGAACACTGCATTCGCAATGCCGGTGCTGTCGAGGGCGGCACTAATAACTAAACTTCAAGTGAATTTCTAATAATTTGCCACCGTGTCTCATAAAGACAACCCTTCACTGGTCACGAAAAATTTCAGGGAAATTTCTTCATACCCAGCTTTACATACTTTTTCTACTAAACCAGCAGTAAAACACTGTTTTGTTTGATACCTAACATTTTATTAGCAGAAAACGGGAACCAAGAGACCGCTAAAGTTGATGGCAGGAACACATCGTTGCCACTTCCAGTGATGTTGCTTCAAAAGGTACACAGCTGTTTTAAAAACATTCATTTAAGATTTTAGCGATCCCAGCTTATATTCCTTAAATTGTTGTTTCACAGACGTATAATTACGTCTGTGAAACAACAATAATAATTGTAGCGTTTGGTAGATAGAAATCGATGTACCGTATACGATTGTAGACATTTTAAGGTGTGTTTTCTTTAACAACTGCATAAAACAGACGCGAATCTTACTGTTCATTTTTACAAGTTTATGGAAGACGCAATTGGGACATATAAAACAAGACAAACCGGCCAAGACGGAGTCGGACTCGCCCATGAAGAGTTCCGTTCGTCAATAAAACGGCAATAAAATCATATCAGTTGTATGGGAGCCCCACTTAAATATTTTTCTCTTTTTTTTAGTAGTTGTTGTTATAGTGACAACAGAAATACATCATCTTATAATATGCTCATGAGATACATCCTGATGACAGACGGACAGACAGACAGACATCGGAGTTTTAGTAACAGGGTCCCATTTTACCCTAAAGCGAGTTTTATACTACCATTAATTTTCGTAGTATTATGTTTTAATGTGTTAGGCTTGTAATAGAAAAATATTAAATGTCGCAGGGTATAAACTTCATGCCGAGTAAAGCACAAAACGGCGCAACAGTGAGCAACGATGAGTCTACCGACGAATCGAGCACGGTAAGCAAAACTCTCATTCTTTAGTAAAAGGCATAGAATTTTTATAAATTTAGCTTTATAAATAACTCTTTACTAGATATAAATTCTAACTAATTACGTCGATACAAGTTAGGGTTGCCAATCGGTCTATATCTAATATTATATATAATATGTATTCAGTATTTATATTATGATTCGGGTTTAACAGTGGTGGGGCCACGCAGCAGCCTCGGCTGTTGCACGAATGGGCAGGCTCGTCCGGGTAAGTACCACGACCTCACAGAGGACCAGCGTAAAGTAGAAGTATGACAAATACTTTCGCGTTTCGTCTGGTGAGTGAGGTAGCCGGAGCCCAATTTTCAAAAGGTTGTCAACGCATCTGTAACCCTCGGGTGTGGCAGATGTCCATGGGCGGCGGTAATCATTTAACATCAGGTAAACCGCCTGCTCGCTTGTCGACTTTTCACATAAAATATAACGGGTTTGCTTACTATATCTTCTGTTCAAAAAAAATATAGTAAGTACCCAAAAATATTATATTTCAGGTAGTGGGATCAATATATTTTTGTAAGTAATAAATATATTTCGTACTACATTTTTTGATGAGTAATCCGGCACAATATGGTGCATAGATACAGTATAAAGAAGAGGAATATTAAAATACTTATTTAAAATTTTATTATCTATCTACACATAAAATATAATGCATTAGAAAATAGTATAATATATAAAACAATATAGTGCAACACTAAAATATAATCATAGAATATACATTAACTGTGTGAGAGTAACAACAGCTTACATAACATCTATGGTTGCACGAATAGCTAATAATATAGCACAAGGTACAAACTACAAACCTGACAATCAGTACCTGTAGCAGACAATTTTTCGGGTCGTAATTTCTATACTAGTAGGTTAGGTTCAAGCGTTGTTTATAGTATTCCAATATTTACAGAATAAGAATAGCATGCAGGCCCTTCCTTCCTACATGCGAAATTGACGGGTGTTGAGCCAAAACTTTATATTTGCACGGATTCGAGACAGTAATTACTGCAATCAAGAAATACACGTTTGATTACAAATCAACGTAAAACGACTATTACGATTTGACAATCTTTCGTCCGGTTTCTGAAACACTCGTACACTCTGAAGTATATCAGATATAAAACAAAAACAAGTTTTTCTTTGACGACCACACCAACGCGCTTTCTAAATTATATTGAGTGTTAATTGAATGACTCATGTGGTACAATGAACTTTTGTTGTTGGTGACGCATTAGAGGTTGTGACGTTCTTACCGATAGAAGAAGACAATGAATCTCAATTTGATTTTGGAAGAAGTAAATACATCTCTCAGCACCCATTAATACACGTACAGACGTACGTAGTGTAAAACAGTGCTCTAATTAATACACTTACATACGTACGTAGTGTAATACAGTGCTCCTATTAATACAATTACATAAGTACGTAGTGTAATACAGTGCCCCTATTAATACACTTCGTACGTAGTGTAATACAGTGCTCCTATTAATGTCTTCAGAATAACACCTCGACGAGCGAGGCCAAGCCGACCGGTTTCGACGACGAGCTCCTCAAAAAGATATCGGCAATACCCATGATGCAGTACGAAGAGCTGAAAGTGGCGACGGACAACTGGAGCGAGAGCAATTTGCTCGGCAAAGGCGGCTTTGGGCAGGTGTATAAAGGCAAGTTTTGGACGCTTAATCTATGATTAACTGACAGTTTTATTTTGCTTACTTGTCACAAAAGTAAACAAATATCGTGTGAAATTTTATAGTGCTTATCTCTGCACTTAAGATTAAACATTAAAATTTGTAGAAAAAGCACGAAAAGACTGCCGCCGCTGTGGGAATCAAAATATCGTATGTATAACTAAGAGCGAATGTTAGAATTGACAGCACCGTAGCATTAGTGTTGCTAATTTGATTTACGGCCGGCTTCGTTATTCTATCTACAGATAGTTTTGGTTAGTGGAGATAGAATTTTGACGTAATTATTATGAATCTAATGACAAATAGCTATCGCTAGTAACCAAATCTGTTTGTAGATTGAATATTTAAACCGGCGGTTAGTTATTAAAAGAGCGGATTGAAACCCAAATCGTAGTCAAGTGATTAAATAACGGTAAACGTTAGAGACGCAGACATGCTAATTAATTCTCAAATATATCTTGTAGTTAATGATGCCATGAGCTCCGTATTTTTGTTTTGAATGATTCTAAAAATTACTGGCCTCGTCGTCAACATTAACTAATGTGAATATTAACAGACGATGACGGATCTTCAAATCAAGCAAGCAAGGTATTCAATGTTAAATATTTAGTTAAAATTCTGAAATAACCTTATAAAAGTGAATTTATCAAAAGGTGGCAACGCATCTGCAACACTACGGCTGTTGCAAATGCCCATGGCGCCGTTTACCAGTTAACAGAAGGCGTAACGCCAGCTCGCTTGCCATCTTACATAACAAGAAAACAGTCTCCCTACCGAAAATTCATCGCGCTGTATACTCGAAACGCTTTTAAGCATTGGCGCGCTAGAAGGTTATTTTTAACTCGCAGGAGTGTGGAAGCTGTCAGCGGTGGCCGTTAAACGTCTGCGTAGCAACGACGGCCGGAGCAACAGGGAGCTGATAGGGGAAATGTGTCTCAACCAGTATCGGCACGACAACATCCTACCCCTATACGGGTACAGCCTGGGAGGTATTTAGCATTTTGTGTGGAGATCTGGATAGTAAGTCCCACCAGATCTGGATAGTAGTGGAAGATTTCCTTAGGAAATATTGCCCCATACTTTTCTCTTAGGGGCAGTCGTTTTTTAACCCCTCTCCTCCCCCTTGGTGATACGTGTTGAGGTTTAAGACTAAAGCCCCCCCCCCCCCCCAAATCACGTGTATTTTTAATACCTACAAAGAATCTTAAAATTTTTAGAATATTATTTTTTAGCCAAATAACAGAAACAGAATATATGTACACACTACACGCCGCTTTCCGTTTTAGAGATCGCGCGTTTACCCAAATAATGATTGATTACCCGTGATATCTTACTAGACTCCCGCCTCCCCTTTGTGATATTGCGTGATTTTTGCCAAGCCCCCTCCGACCCTTTCTAGCCCCCTACCAGCATTATGTCATGCAGATCAGAATGCATCCGTCTCTGTCTAACTGTCGTAGGTCCAGAGGCGTGCTTGGTATACCAGTATATGGCGGGCGGCTCTTTGGAGCGGAGGCTCCGATGTAAAACCGAGCACCCTCCCCTCACTTGGTGGCAACGCTACAAGATCGCGCATGGTGTTGCCAGGTATTAGCGAAAATTATTTATCTCGTATCAAACAATTACTAAATTAACGTTACCGACGCGTAGGGTATAAATAATTAAATATTTGAGGACACAATTATACACAACGTCGTCTAATCTCAAATCAAAGCTTGCTCTATGGGTACTAGACAAGTGGTGAACATACTTTTTTTTTGTAACTAAATACATATTGTTACGTGTTAGGAGTTCGAAGGATTTGGAGAGAAAGACCTGCTGACTCTTTTGAAGACTTTATTCAATAGCACTAGGTCCAACACAAAGCACTAGGTCCAAACACTAAGCACTAACGGTGTCCTGTTTTGTAGCCAAGTCGTAGGTTTCACTGGTATCGCTCTTGATCACTAGTTTTCGCTCCGAAGTCGCCTCGAAGGCAGCTCAAACCGAACTGTATTCGCTCGCATCCCCGCGGCTTTTTACATGGGCCGAGACCGGTTCCAGACTAATCCAGAAAGATCCTTCCTGGAACGTACCCGACACGCCCGAACATGTTCGTGATTCCGGAAAGTTCGCGAATGTACCCGGTTTTCGAGACTAGTTCCACAGCAGTTCCTATAACGCCATCTAGTATTGAATAGGGGGTTTTATGTCGTCTTTGTTCTTTAGTGATTTTAATAGTTGACGCTAGATGGCGTTAGTTCCTTTGTGTGTTCATAACAATATGATATGTATTTAATTACAAAAAAATTATACAAAACACAGACACAGGAAAAACAATCAGTTCATCATACAATATTTTTAACAAGTAGTGGAGTTTAAACCCTCATCCTCCAGAGCAAGTGACAGCTTCCAGTGACAGCAAGTGATCAACATCGCTAATCAGGTTGTAATTGCAATACTTTCGAGAAGTCTATGAATACACTTAACCTTAATCTTTGATAACCCACCAGTAGGACATGTATAGGCTGTAATTTCATGTGATACATATTATTTGTTATCGGTGCGTAAATCTGCAATAATCTTTGAGGCAGACAAGTGTGTGTGGGTTTACCTACTAACTCTAGATGGCTCTCTACTTGGATCTGGCGTGTGAAAGGCTAGCTCATGGGAAGGGATAACACATTCCTTAGTTCCCTTGCTATCTATCTCGCATGCTAGTGATAAGAAGAGAACACTTCGAGCTGCCGATATTACCAGTCCAAAACTTCCCGACCATAGTTTAATTATTTTTTTTATGTGAAAGGAAGCAAACGTGCTCGCGATTCACCTGATGTTAAGTGATAACCGCCGCCCATTGACATTTGCAACACCCTTAGGGCTGCTGATGCGTTGTCACCTTTTAATAAAGTGGGCCCCGGCTACCTCACTCACGAGACGAACCGCAGAAATATAACACTTAGTAAGGACGTTTTGACACACATACATACATTTCACGGTGGACAAACACCCAGATGCGAAACAACTGTCTGTGGGTCACACAAACAGTTGTGCCGTTTTAAACGATTTAAAATTAAATAACAGAGGTCTGCAGTACCTGCACACGATGGCCGGCACGCCGTTGATACACGGCGACATAAAACCTGGCAACATACTCCTGGACCAGTGCATCATGCCGAAGATCGGGGACTTCGGGCTGGCGAGGAAGGGGCCATACGGCGAGGAGAGGACGCATTTGAAGGTCTCCAGGTATTTGCGGAAAAATGGCATTACCCATATTAGTACATCACTACATAATATAAAACAAAGTCGTCCCGTTATCCGTCTGTTTTTTGCGTTTTTTTTTTTACTTGATAGAGTGATTCAACAGGAAGGTTTATATGTATTATACATTGGACCCGTGCGAACCCAGGGCGGGTCGCTAGTATTCCATAATACAAGTCTTATAATACCTTTTCTGCAATTAAAATTTCATTTAAATTCATACATGAAGAAAATGATTGGAAAACTTTGTTCATAACGGAATCTCTCGGTTCTCATTAGTCCTTACGACGTAGAAAATGAATGAAAACATATACTATATAGGCCGTAAAACTTTAACTCAGTAGAGTACAAAAATCACTCAACAAAACTGACATAGTGCTTCCTAATTTTGTTTCTTATGAATAAAAATGTGCGTGTGTGAGTTTGTTATAGTTAAACTGTAATTTCTACGTCGATCAGTGTTTCAGAAACATGGCGTTAGAAAATATTTTTTTATGAGGAAAGTTGGCAAGCGGTTAGGCGAGTTCAGCTGATATTAAGTGATTACTGCCACCAATAGACAATACAACTCTTGGATTGCAAATGCGGTGTCGCCCATAAAAAAATGGGCCTCCGGAACGTCACTCATCAGGCGAAACGCGAAAGTGTAACACTTCCACTTCCTCGGTTTTTTGATAGGCTGTGTACTTACTAACGGGCCTGCCCAACCTTGCAACAGAAGCTGCCACGTGGAGGGCCATGACCAGGACTAAATGGCGCAGTTCCCAAATTTGTGTGACCCGCAGATCTTTCGGATCTGGGTGTGTCCACGTGAAATCTATGTATGTAAAACGTCCTGCACGGGATAGTGTTATCCCGTTATCCAGTGGGGGGGCGAATCCTCTTATCTAATGAGGGGCCAATGTTTTCGAAAGACCACAATAGATCTTCCCGGATCGCAGCTGTCGTAGGAACTTACTGCCCAACCCGTTCTACACGTAATACAATACACACAGGGTCCATGGCACCCGTCCCTACTTGCCCGACGAGTACCTCCGCTCCCACTACCTGTCTCCGGCTGTGGACGTGTTCAGCTACGGCGTGGTGATGCTCGAGATGGCCACCGCACTCCCGGCAATGGACAGGTCCAGGCCCGCCCAGCTGCTGAGCGATTACATGCACCTCAGGCACCGCGAGGGGGCCGATTTGGGTAATATCAACCTTATCTCGCGGTTATTACGGTTCTTTTTCGCCGAATTATCAGCTACGGATAGGTCCAGGCCCGCCCAGCGATTTGGGTAACATCAACCTGATCTCGCGGATTACGGTTCTTTTTCGCCGAATTATGCGGATAGGTCCAGGCCCGCCCAGATGCTGAGCGATTACATGCGCCTGAGGCACCGCGAGGGGGCCGATTTGGGTAATATCAACCTTATCTCGCGGTTATTACGGTTCTTTTTCCTCAGGCGATTACATGCCGCGAGGGGGCCGATTTGGGTAATATCAACCTTATCTCGCGGTTATTACGGTTCTTTTTCGCCGAATTATCAGCTACGGATAGGTCCAGGCCCGCCCAGATGCTGAGCGATTACATGCGCCTGAGGCACCGCGAGGGGGCCGATTTGGGTAATATCAACCTTATCTCGCGGTTATTACGGTTCTTTTTCGCCGAATTATCAGCTACGGATAGGTCCAGGCCCGCCCAGATGCTGAGCGATTACATGCGCCTGAGGCACCGCGAGGGGGCCGATTTGGGTAATATCAACCTTATCTCGCGGTTATTACGGTTCTTTTTCGCCGAATTATCAGCTACGGATAGGTCCAGGCCCGCCCAGATGCTGAGCGATTACATGCGCCTGAGGCACCGCGACGGTGCCGATATGGGTGAATATCCACATTTCGCTGATATAACGGTTCATTTTGCACTGCATTACCGGCCATGGGCAGGTACCGATTTGGGTGAATTATTATTTCGAAAATATGCAGGTTTCCGGGCGATGTTTTCATCATAGCTGAGCAAGTGATAAGTCAGCACTTAAAATCATCAATTCTATTCGTGATGGCACCGGTATTTGATGTCAGGTTGCTCAAGTATATTATATACTAAACAATCATGTTTCAGTTATTTGTTTACATATAATAGTTCAGACTATTTGCTACTATTTCGCCCCACTTGTTATTTGCATGTATTAGTGAAACTGATAGGCATGTTATCTTCTATATATATAAAAAATTTAACAGGAGAGTGTTTTCATATACTTTTTATTCCGAAGATGAAATCTGTAGGCGGCAGAAACTTTAATGACACCAAATGGTGTGTACTTTGCACGTTGTTATTGCGGTTCGACAAGTGGTGACCGATAGAGAGCGATTGTGATCATTTAGATTGTCAACAATCAATGTAATAATTTTACCGTTTGCAGCGATGTTGGAGGATGGAAATATACGAGGCACGCCGAGTTCGAACCCGCCCCTTTGCCTCGAGTTCATCAGGATAGGACTCCACTGCACTCAGTACAACCGACAGGAGCGTCCGACCATGTTGGAAGTCTACAAGCGGCTGGACAGTATGAACATACCGGAGAATTACTAGACTTACACCTTCAATTTGAAATTCTCCAAAAAACAAGAACTTCAGATAAATAATAAGTCGGGAAATTCATTTACCTGCCCTTATCCCACCTAATCGGGGTCGGCATATGTTAAAGGTATTGGCGGCTACGTTTCCACTACGTTAACGGCCGCACGCTTGACGTCAAACCTTGGAAACAAACACCAATCCGGAACTATTAATTGTGAAAATCGATCCCACGCACGCGGCGCCGAAGCTAACATAGCAAACAGAAATTGAATATTTATTCGATTTCTGCAATTGCAAATCGAATGTTTATTCGATTTATGTGTATTAAATTCGATGTTAGCTTTTATGAACATCATTACGCCGCTAATGACGAAAAATGGTAATAAAGATTTTTCCATTTTTAAGCAAAATTATTTAAGAATGTAATTAAATTACTTAATAAATACCAACATTTACGCCAGGTTTTTGATTGATAAGAATGATTTTCTTAATGATCAAAATGATCAATTCAAAGAGTTTAACCATCCTTTTGGCTACTCAAATGACATTTGAAGTCATTTGACAGCTAATTAGTTAACATCTACGATGATCAGTGTTTCAGAAACCGAGCGAGTGTTGCAACTCTATCAGGACAGACAGAGATAGCAATAGTAGGAGACAGATATAATGAACTTCTGTCTCACTACCAGAAGTGCGACACAATTGCAAAAAAAGAGATTGGCAGTCATATTCAAGTTACAATAATTTTATTACTCATTTTTAACTTCAAATAACATTTTCTTAGTGACCATAAATGCTAAAAAGGTGTCATCGTGCTTGGTGCTTTTAATTAGGGACAGTGGCGAAGTCATTATCGCTTATTAAAGGCCACCTAATTTTGATTTATTATCGAATTACCTTGTATGATCCAGTACCTATTATCCTCTGTTTCTTAACAAATTTTATTTTTATTTTTTGTTTCATAATTTGTTAATTGTGCCTGGCGGAGATGATTAGCTTCTTGTGGGGGGGGGGGGGGGGGGGGGGGGGGGGGGGGGCGTTATAATGCCGGCGTCGGCGTCGTCGTCGTCCGGGTCTTCTACATGGCCTTGTGGGGCCTTGCAGGTGCGGGTGTCGAGGCTTGATCCTCATGACCCGTGCTTCTTCTCGGGGGCCTTTAAGGCTCCCCGGTAGTTGGGGCCTATATAGGCGCTACGATGTATACGTTGTTTATAACGTAGAAACGATTTAGCCTCATTGTTCGCCGAGATGCCCGGCGAGAAGTGAGCTTAATGTGCGACTTATCGCACTCCAGGTTGCCAGGCTAGCCGTTGTTGCTGCTATTATGTTGTTTATGGCTTCGTTTGCGACGCGTATTAGTAGGCGCACCACTTCCGTAATGTTCTTCGTTGAGATTGCTTCAGATGATCGTTGGTATTCGTTGGGGTGGTGTGCGCGACGTACGGTTGGCTCCACCCTTATGTTTTCCCTGAATCGTAGTCTTCTGCCTTCGCCACTAGGGGGAGGCGAGTGGTGTGTTTGACGGGGGGGGGGGGGGGGGGGGGGGGGGGGTGGTTTGACACTGCTGTCTCCGCCTCCGTGGCCGGTGTTGGCACCGATGGTGCGTCGCTCGCCGATGTCGCGGGGGCATCTCGTCCGCGCCGTCTGCGTCGATGGCTTCTTATCCGCTGTGTGGGCGGGTTAGCGGGGGGGGGGGGGGGGGGGGGGGAGCTCCCCCCTCCCTTCGGTCTGTCCCTTGTTCGCGCCTTTCTCGGCCGATTGTCACCCAACCGTCCTCCGTAGGCGCGTTTCTTCGGGATTCAGGTCTTTGTGGATGTAGTTTCATGACCCTTTTTCTTGCCTCCCTTATGAAGGCGGGGCAGCGCCTGTCATTGGCGGGATGTCGCTGGCGACAGTTTGCGCATCTGGCTGGGGTTGTAAGCGGCAGTGGGCAGTTTGCCGCAATGTGATTGTCCGCACATCTGACGCACACAACGGGTCGGTGGCAGTTGTATGAGGCGTGTCCGAATTGCTGGCACCTGTGGCATTGCGGTGGGCCGGTTCTACCTCTCCATCCTTCCACAGTAATGCCAGGCATATTTAGTAGTTCGACTATAGAATACAGTCTGGCGGTCTCTCTATTGTTGATGCGTTCTAACTGTACGTAGAAAATGCATCTTGTACGGTTTCTAGCCGGCGGTATTAATTTGATGTATACCGCCGGGAAGCCTAATTCTTTTAGGGCTTCTGTGATGTCCTCCGGTGCAGTGGTTTCAGGGAGCCCTCTAATCCCGACCTTAGTAGGGAGCTCAGTAGCGGGAGCATAGCAATGCCATTTGATTGCACTGTTTACTTCGGTGGCATTTGCTAGGTGCCTTTGTACGACACGGTATTCGTTCGCGGATTTTGGGAGAAAGCGCATCCCTTTGCCGAACGTGCGTGCATTGGGGGCGTGTCCCAGTTTGAGACCCCTAGGGGAGGCCCAGCGAAGCGCCGAGCGAGCAGGGAGGGGTACAAGGCCGCAAAGTGTGGTGGTAATCGTCGCGCTTCCCAGCGCGCGCACTGCCTGCCCCTTTCCAAGGAAAGGGGGGACACAGTGCGAGGTCGCGCAAGTGGTCTCGCGGTCGCAGGGGTGCAGGTGTCGGCGAGGCTTGCACGGCGCACACGTCCCGGACAAGGTGGCCTAGGCTGCTCGACGCTTCACGGAGTTAATACCTCGACGTTAGGCGGAGTGGCTTCGGCGGATTTCGGCTGGATGGCTTCGATCACTCACGATGTCGCAGAACGGGCGCTTATGGCGGGCGCTTATGGCGTCGGCTCTGCCTCCATATTGGGTGCTGCACAGAGTGGTGCGTCAAGTTGCGACGTTATGGGCCCGTCGCGCCCGCGGCGTCTGCGTCGGTAGCTTCTGACTCGGTATTCTCTCGCACTGCGGTAGAGGTTTGTACACCGGTATTTTGTACACCGGTATTGCATATACCCCCGTGTCACTGTTTTGCGGGGGGAAATCTGAGGAGGGGGGGGGGTCGGTTCCCCCCCCCTGATTAAATCTTGTGTGGCGATTGGTCTCGCTTGCCACGGTTGTCCATCCGTCTTGGGTTGTCGTTCTGGGGCGAGGGGGATTTAATTTTATTCCTCGCCTTCTCGCCTCCCTTATGAAGGCAGGACATCTTCGGTCGTTCGCTGGGTGCTGTTGGCCGCAATTTGCGCAGCGCGCTGGTGTCGTCAGGGGTCAGGGCTGCATGAGGCTATATGGTTGCCTACACATCGGACGCAAACTACCGGCTTGTGACAATTTGCCGATAAGTGCCCGAATTGTTGGCAGCGGTGACATTGAGGGGGGCCGGTTCTGCCTCTCCAGCCTTCCACACTAATGCCAGGCATGTTAAGTAGCTCTTGTATAGCATACAGTCTTGCGGCTTCATTGTTTGGTAGGCGTTCGAGTTGTACATAAAATGTACACCTACTGCAGTTTCTAAGCGGCGGTATTAGTTTCGCGTACACCGCTGGGAAGCCTAGTTTTTGTAAAGCTTCAACGATGTCTTCCGGTAGCGTTGTTTCCGGTAATCCCCTCACTCCGACCTTGGTGGGGAGTTCGGCTGCGGGTGCGTAACAGTGCCATTTTATCTCGCTGTTGGCTTTAGTCGCCTCCGATAAATGTCGCTGTATGACTCTATATTCGGCTGCGGATTGCGGAAGGAAACGCATCCCTTTTCCGAATGTTCGGGCGTTGTTGGGGGCGTGTCCCAGTTTTCTTTTTAACTCCGCGAAATGGGTAGTCCACTCAGGGAGGTGTTCCACCACTATTGGCGGGTAGCCCTTTTTAGTGGTTTCTTCGTTAGTGGCTTCATTTTCAGGTTGCAGTTGAGGTTGCCTTGATGTTGAAGGTGTCGGCGTCAGCGTTTGCGGCGGGGTGGTTGCTCTGGCGATTGTTGCGTAGGACGTGCTTTGCTGCGCAACGTCCATCGCGTTTTCGCTGCGATCGGGTGAGCTGTGGACCGAGTCGTATGACGGCGATCGTGGCGGCTGCGAATGTCCTGTAATGGGGGTCTTCTTAGGTTGGTCTTGCTTGTGATTATTTGGCGATTCAACGCACTGTCTCTTCTCGTACAGTGACGCGTCAGTCTCCGGCGGCGTATGACGCCTGCGGGCCTTGCGGCGGTGGTACGTCTTGGCCGGGGTGGATGCGTACAAAGACGCACCACCGTCGGCTCGGACTTCCGCCACCCCCGAGGTACTCGCGGCGTTCCTGCGATATTCCTCCTCACTTGTTGAGAGGTCTTCTTCTACTACTAGTTGATGGTGTCGCTGCTGTTGCGGGCGCAACTTCTCCCTCGGGAGCTCAGCTTCCTCGGCGATTGGTTGGTCCACCCCAGCAGGAAGACGGGTCCTCCTACGAGGTTTGGGGGGCGAGCTGCCCTTCATTCTTCGTGATTCCGTCTTAGCCCGTGGTTGCGGGCGGTGTCGATTCCCCTGTGCGAGCTAGTACCTCGCTCCCCTCGGCGCGGGCCACTTAGCCGGGTGAGACCCCTGAGGGAGGCCCAGCGAAGCGCCCAGCGAGCAGGGAGGGGTAGTTAGGCCGCAGCGTAAAATGGGAGTCGTCGCGCTTCCCAGCGCGCGCACTGCCTGAGCCTTTCCAAGGAAAGGGGAGACGCAGTGCGGGTCGCACACGTAGTCTCGCTGTCGCGGGGGCACGTGGTCTCGGCGAGGCGTGTACGGCGCACACGTCCCGGACAAGGTGGCCTAGGCTGCTCGACGCTTCACGGAGTTAGTACCTCGACGTTAGGCGGAGTGGCTTCGGCGGACTTCGGCTGGATGGCTTCTATCACACACGATGTCGCGGAACGGGCGCTTCTTGTCTGTTGCACGATCGGGCAGGTCCGTCCGGGGAAGCAGCACTATCTCACAGAAGACCAGTGTGAAATTGAATTGTTATACTTTTGCGTTTCATCTGCGAGGTAACTGGGGCCCACTATGAAAAGGTGGCCACGCATCTGCAACCCTACGGGTGTTACAAAAGTCAATGGGCGGCGGTTATCGAACCACCTGTTTCGCTTGCTACCTTCTCACATAAAAAAAAAATCTGTATCAAAATCAAAAATATATTTATTCAAATAGACGCTTGCGCGCTCTTATGAATCGTCAAATTTTACATCAAAGATTATGTGTATAGGTTCGTAAGGTACCGCCGGTTCGGAAAGCAGTTTCTGTTGAGAAGAGACCGGCAAGAAACTCAACAGTTGCTCCTTTTCAAAATAATAAACAGGTACAATAGTCTTATTCTAGCCTACGTGAGTATCAACAGTATCAACTCCACACATTGGCGTCGTCGAGATATTCCGAAATGCTATAGTACGCTTTAATCATTAGTTGATTTTTAATTTTACATTTAAATTGGTCAAGCGGCAGACTTAATATCGAGTGTGGGATTTTATTATACATGCGCACACCCTGCCCCATGAAAGACTTATTTACTTTTTGTAGACGAAACAATGGCGTAGTAAGTTTGTCCTTATTTCTAGTGTTTATTTTATCTCTGTCACTATTCTTTAGGTAATAATTAAGGTTATGACGTATATACAAAACATTACAATAAATGTATTGAGAAGCAACAGTGAGTATATTAACCTCTTTGAAAAGATCTCTGAGTGAATTCCGGGCTCCGATATTGTAGATTGCTCGGACAGCTCTTTTTTGAAATAAAGCCCAAAACAATAATATCTTAATATCCTGTAACAAAATGTGGTAAGAATTACAATTTTTAAATGATAAATACACTGTTATAACATGACATGACGTCGTGTCCGATACCTATATGAATGAACTAATTTGAAAAACCATTTGACAGTTGATTGGTTAATTTGTACGATAATCAGTGTTTCAGAAACCAGGCGTCTGGTAATCAAGGAAGGTTTTTAATTATGCTGTTTTAATTTTCTAATCCTTTTGGATTAATTTGTATTTGTAGTGTTTTTTGTTTCATCACTTAAAATATGTTTATAGATAAATAAAGAATAATAATAATCGGCCGCTTAGCTTAGTTGGTAAAGCGTCTAGGCGCGATATCGGAAGACGCAGATTGGAATCCCGAAGCGCCGCAAATTTTATTAATTTATGTATAAAAATTCATATTTTCACTAATGCTGTTAAAAATAGTTAATACACAAAACACAATGTAATAAAAACCAAAATATTTTTTATTACATTTTCATTTCCGAATTCGATTAAGTTGACGGTGCAAAATATCGATTAATTCGTTGTTGTGTGTAAACTTTATACGTATTTAAAGGTTTTAAGGAATTTATATCGGTTATATAAGCACAGCTAAATTAAAAAAATATATTATATATTTTTAATCTTAAGAATTAAGAACATTTTTTAAAAGACTTCTGGTTTCATAAATGTTACAGTATTAAAAACAGCATGTGCGCCAGCAAGAATAGAAGTTTTAATAAGTGTAATTTCATAAATATAATTTGTAAAAAAATGAAACATCAACGTAATGCAATGATATTTATGATTAAAATAATAACTATTATTTTACTTGCCTTTATTCAGATTGAAAAAAATGATAATAAAGTTATTTTTCTATTTTGTACAGTTTATACAATGATGCTTTGCAGTATTTACATACGCATCTTTTACATATTTCTTGTTACATAAATGTTTAATATGAATTTTATTGTTAAATAGGCATAGACTAAAATAGACAATTATTCTTTCTTCTGTCATTGCAAAGTATATTTCCTAATTTCCCGTTTTACTAGATAACATTATGTATTTACATGAGGTATGTAATATTATTTAATGACTGATTACGTGTTATATAAGCAATAAAGTTTATTCTTCTATGTGCTTGGCTTTTCTTAACAAGTCAAACATTTTTTGTTGACATTTTTTATGTTGTACATTTTAATCGACTTTTAGTTGCACTTGCTAAACAATCATAAGAATGTTTAATATTGTGATAACTTTCATAGTTATCATTGTATTCCTGTAGCATCAAAAATCTAATAATGTTCTCTTTTATTTCTTATTCAATAAAATTCAGAGCGTAATAGACGGTAATTGAGAATTTTGGACCAAGTGAGAGGCAGCTTTGAAAGTAACTTGGACCTTATTGATGTAGAGAAAATAAAAAAAGTATTAGTTTCTGAAGATGAATAAACGGCCGGTTTCAATATTCTGCCTATGTGTAGATTTGGCTACTAGTGATAGATATTCGATATATCTCCATATTACTTACGTCTAAATTCTGTCTCCAGTGACTCAATCTACAGATAGAATATTGAATCCGGCCGTAATGGAACCGATTAAAGCAAGCATATTTATATCTTAATACAACCTTTATTACAGGCCGTGGGCATTTTTTTATGTGAGGGGGGTTCTTCTCCACTTTAATAAACATGAAATTTTAAACCAGTATCAGTTTGGATTTATTCAGTAACGATGTGTTGAAATAATTCTTGATCTGCAATTACAAATCTGGCTGCTGCCGATTTTATACTTGAATAATTTTGTAAAAATTTGTAATTAAAAAAAAAAAAGGTAACGCGACCGCAAAGTTTTTTGCCGATTCTCCTCTAGTCAGGTCTAGTTTAGTGAACCGGTGGTAGTTTTTTGACATTCAATAACAGCATAAACACACACTGAATGAATTTATGCATTCATTACCTGATTGATAGCACTCGAAATAATAAAGGAAACCCGATCAAAAAATATATTTATTTTTACACATCTATCCAATAAAATACACAGACATTTATAATAAAAGATTGTCATGGCAAGTTCCTTCACACTAGGCCAGAATCAAGAGGAAACCATGGTAACTAAATCGACTCGGCTGAAGATAATTTTACGAGATGGATTTTATTAATATTGGCATCCGCAACAATTCTCATCTTTCGACAAATAACTTTTATTATTAATATATCATCGGTTAGGTTTCCTACATTCATTTGATGCCTACAGAATTATAAATTACTATAGGCTGTACCAAAAAATCTTTATCAGATCAAACTATTTTTAAACAGCGATACGAGTTATGAATTAGTATTTAATAATAATAATAATTCGATAATTCCTAACATAATGTAATACTGAGGTTAGTTTAATAGAAATCAATATGGAGCTTAACTTTGGTTTAAAAATGTTTATTAGTTGCTTTCACATTTATATATCATGATATGACACCAATTAATTTTTCAACATTACACTACTAAAAGATTGACATTGACACATCTTTTATAATTACAACTCTTCAATGTACGTTGATAGAAAATTGAGTTGATCTAATATTGATTACATCCAATAAATATACATATATATGTCATTAAAAATATATTTGAAATAGGCGTAACAACATTTATCTTCAATACATACGATCCCTGAAAGACATATACATAAATTCTAATGGTGCATATATAAATAGATACAACGGCCACACTCGGGACTTTCATTAGCATTGCTTCTTCAGTTTTAAAGAATTTTTAATTAGGCTCTTTACAAGTAAAATCATTTCTTTATTAGCTAAATGCAGTCTATGTGTGGGACCGTTAATATTTCACTTCACACGCCAACTCATTAGCGATTAAAAATCACAATCCTTCAAAAAATCGTACAGCCCTACATATTACTATTATTATTTCTCTGATACATCTTTAATTAAACGCATCAAAAACAAACAAACATAAAGCTCAATTTCAAACGTTAATAGGACATACACTCACTACGCATAACCAAAGCGTAGTTTTAGATCGTAATAATATCAATAAATTTATTAATACCCATATATTTATTCATGACCATAAAATCGGGGAAAAATTTGCTCGAGGTGTCTAAGCGAGGTTTTCAATATTTTACAAACATACTCCTAAAACGTTTCTTCGTCTCGACACTTGTTTCCGAGTCTATGAGGTAGGTGTAGGATTTTTTAAGCCGCTATTTGATAGAGTGATAAGTATTTAGTTGAACTTATACCTACCGCCCTTTGTAGTTTGAATTGAATTTTTATTCTTCACGAGGGTGAGGAAAGCTTTGTTCGGACTATATTTTTTGTTTACTAATAAATTTAAATGAAACGTTAATCGGTGATGGCTGTAAATGGGTATTACAACAAACAACCGCACTAAGGGGAGCTATTCGATCTTAATCAACATATGACATAACACAAGAGACTTTTTAGACCCTTGTTAAACCGCTTTAACATGGATATGGAAATATAACATTTTAACATTTCTACAAGTTTTAATTTTAATATTTTTTTTTCGGGCGAGTAACATTTTTGCATCATCTCTTAAATTGTTTACGATTCAATTATAATATCAACTGTTACAATTTTTATAAAAACATTAACTGCATCACAGTTAATACTACAATCAGTAGATATCGTTCCAAAGTTAATGAACAGTTAAAAAAATAACTTTACAATTACATTCGGCGTCATAAATTCTATTTGTAAACACTAAGAAAATAGTAACTGCAATAGGTGTTTAACATTCTGGGTGAATTCGTAACTAGTGTAATGAAAACATAATGCTTATAAGCACCCCCTACCTACCCACAGGAATATAATAAAGGGTAGGTACGCATGAATAGTAAGTAGAGTTCTCGGCGCTAAATATTGCATATTGATCTTTGGAAAGACACAATCGGTAGTTTCGATTTTGTAGAGCGCTATCTCTGTCACACGAAGTACTAACGGTCCGGAACACACTAACAGTGCGGGACAGAGATAGCGATAGACAGAATCTACGAAACCATATGAAATATTTATGGCCGAGTACCGAGACTTGGGACTAAGTCTTGCTGCGATTATTAAAAATACAGACAAAAATAAAAATCAATAAATACATTTCTCATCGTATTTAACAGGTAAGTAATAAATAATAATAAAATAATGTTGTCTTAGAAAAAGTTACAAGTTACTTCCAACCGTATCATTTATAATCTGTATTTTCAATAATCTGTATGAAGTTTGGAGCTTAGCTTTAAGCTTTTATATTAACAATTAATCCGCTTTCAACCAATCAATATCAAAATTACACTAATACTGCATTATTTTCATACAATCAATTTTTACATAAAACAAGATTTTCATTTAAACAACACTGACGAACCATGACTAAAGTCGACGTTGCCTAAAATGAAAATATCCATCAATATGTAAGATCAATAATAAAATTTACAATGACATCTCTCTTACAGTAAAGAATTTATGCAATTTGTAACAAATTTGTAAAAGAAAAAGTAATAACAATTTGGTCTCTTTTTCAATTTGATTTAAAAATACACGTGACTAATGACTCGAAAAGTAAAAAAAAACCCTAAAATTTAAACTCAACATATGTCACTAAAAATGAGTTTCTTATGGACTAGTCCACCATTTAAGTTCAAAATATATTTGGTGGGTTCTTTTCCAATTTAAATTCATCAAATCGTCAACTGTCGTATAACGCAAACTCAACTTTAGCTTTATGTATTAAGAACGAGTTTCATCTGAAAACGATCGCCGGATTGAGTTCTTGAACTTCAGAAATATATTGTTGTCTCCTTTAGAATTAAATTTCATAGAACAAATCATAGTTATGCAGTAGCATAAAACCGGATTGAAAAGATTTGAAAATATATTTTGTGTTTCCTATGAATTAAATTTCATCGGATAAATAATATGCAGCAGTACAGACCAAACTAGCATTTAAAATATGGCAGTAAAGCGAGTTTAAGTTCAACTCTGCCACAGACAAAAAATTAAGCTAAAACTATATTCGGTGGTTAAATCGACCTTCGTCAGAAACGGTAACAAGTGTGTAAAACGCGAGCTCAACTGACCGAGAGCGTTCATTTGAAAACAACCACCGGATTCAAAAGGAAGTTAAGAATGTACTTGGCCGAGACAACGCAGTCGTTTACAACTGTACGGAGGAGCTTGGACAGTTTGGAGACTGTCGGTTTGGGCGCAACAATGCTCCCACGCGCTTCCTTGCACTCAACGCAGTCTATCTCGTAGCCCCTTATAAAGAGGTCCCTGGAACCGATCGCGAACGCGTCGGGATCGTTGAGCAGCACACCCCTGAAGCGTATCCTGTCGTCCGAACGCAGGAGCCGTGTGTAGTTGCTGAAATAATGGTCCAACGTGACGGTGACGTCAGCGTGCCGCTTCAACAGCCCGCCGCCCGCTTCCATCGTAAGTTTGATTTCGTAGCTGTATCTAGAGGGAAAGAGAGAGGGGAAATGACACTTTCAATTCATTATCCGCCTCACTTTTACATTATTATGAAATGGTATTCTGCACAAAAATAATTATGCATAGTCTTGCATTAGGGACATTACCATTTGTGTTTTTGTTTACAAGTTTGTTTGTTTGTTTGTTTACGAAGGCCGAAAACGAAGGTTTCGATCAAAATAAAATCAATTTTGTAATTATGTAGCGTTGAGTATAACGAGTGATATCTCAATGTATAGTGTTCATAATATCGACGCTTGAAAGCCTATCCTTACTAAGCGACAAAAATCCGTAAAATGAGTTAGATATACCATTCGAATCGCCAGAATTTTTCGCGTCGTTTGATCTGAGTCTCATGGTTCTACGACGAGTTTTTTGTCGCTTAGATATTGAGAGATTTCGGTCAAAATCTACATAATGTGCTTACTAAACAACAAAAAAATATTGATTTTAAGAATATCCAGCACATCGACATTTTGAAAATTAGGAATATGAACTTAGTCGGTTTCTTATATATTGACTTTTTCATTTATTTGTATTTACGTATTTTTACTTGTTATGAAATTTCCCTTTGAAACTACTTAGTAGATCTTACCTACAAAAAGCCATTGTAATTCATGTGGTTACGCATTTTAGCTTGTTATTATATTTTGTGAATGTGTCTTTTGTATAAGTTAACCTGAAATAAAGCGGAAGAAAATTAGAGCTTAGATATTTTTAGTTGATAACGGTTAATGTTAATGATGTCGGTTATATAGTTCTACTTGATTTTCTAAATGACTAAGCATGGCGAGTAGATAAATTTACCCGTACGCAAATTTTATTTTCCCGTCGCTAAGGAACTGCGTAAGTTTCAAAAACTTTGTATAGATATACACGATACGTGAAGTGACACGCCTATACGGGTTCTCAACCAGGCGCCTGCAGTCGCTTAGGGAGGACGTATTTTACATTTTGGCGCAAATTCAATGAAGACATGGTAATCGATCAAATTATGCAAAACTCTCTCAAAACAGATAGTCACTTTAACTGCTGAACCAGCCTACATCTGCAAGACTAAGTAGAGAATCAATCGTATCAAATCTAATCTAGCATTTTGAACGTCTTCTGGAATTTTGTTGTAGTAACGTAGGTATACATTGTCCCATAAAACATTTACTTATTTTACGCAGTCTACTTGTGGGTAGGATCAATTTATTTTTGTTCCTAGTATTTATATCATGAACATTATTATGTCTTGAAAATTTATCCTTATTTTTATGGACATACAAACATTTTCAAAAATGTATTGAGAAGCAACAGTCAATACCTTTATCTCTTTAAACAAGTTTCTTAATGATTCTTTGGGGCCCAGATTGTAAACTGCACGAATAGCTCTCTTTTGTAAGATGAAGATTGTATTACTGTCGGCCGCGTTACTCCAAAGCAGAATGCCATAAGACATTATACTGTGGAAATAACTAAAATATACCAAGCGAGCCGTATGCACATCAGTTAACTGTCTTATTTTTCTGACCGCGAAAGCTGCTGAGCTAAATCTACTCGCCAGTCTATTATGTTAAGTCAAGGATTATAGTTATGTCAAGGAATACAGTTGAGTCAATAGGGTCCAACGCTTCCCCATATAAAAGAACATCAGTTTTTACATGTTTAACATTGGAAGTTGTAAATTTAATAAATTTAGTTTTTTTATTATTCAACAGTAAATTGTTAGCACTAAACCAATGTACTACGGATAGTGGATAGAGTATTGTTTACATCGTCATAACTTAAAGAACGTCGTTTTACTATAAAAATTAAAGAGGTATCGTCAGCAAACAATACTATCTCATGATTATTATTAACTAGATAAGGTAGATCATTTATGTAAAGGAGGAAGAGAAAAGGCCCAAGAATAGATCCCTGCTGGACCCCCATATTTACCAGGGCCCCAGGAGATCTCTTGCCATTTACGTCAACTCTCTGAATTCGATGGCTCAAGTACGATTTCAGAAGATTGAGTGCGGCATCTCTTATACCATAGTGGCGTAGTTTCCTGACCAAGGTCTGATGCTGTACACAATCGAAAGCTTTGGTTAAGTCACAGAATATACCTAAGGCATCCTGCGACTCTTCCCAGGCTTCAAAAATATTCATAACAAGCTGAACACCCGCATCCGTTGTTGAGCGACCCCTAGTAAACCCATATTGCTTGTTATGTAATAAATTATGAGAGCTAAAATGCTGTAACATTTGATTAAACATGATTTTTTTCAAAAACTTTACTAAGAGTTGGCAGTACAGGGATAGGTCTAAAATTATTGGGGTCGGAAGTACTACCAGATTTAAACACCGGAATGATTTTACTATGTTTCATAAGGCCAGGAAATTCGCCACGATTGATACAAATATTAAAAATAGTTGCTAGGTAAGGCGATATAACATCAATAATATAACTGATCACCTTAACCGAGATTCCCCATAGATCTGCAGAGAACAGGTTGTCACTCCATCTATTGGGTGTCGTCCTATACTGCGATGGCCAGTACGAGGCTGCCACTCGAGAACCTTTCTTCCCCAACGGTTATCAGTTCTACGAGCTATATGGCCTACCCATCGCCACTTCAGCTCACTAACCTTCTGAGCTTTGTCGGTTACGTTTGTTCTACTGCGGATGTCTTCATTGCAAACTCTATCATGCAGAGAAATATCGAGTATAGCCCGCTCCATAGCTCGCTGAGCGATTTTGAGCTACCTCATACGGCCAGCAGTGAAGGACCACGTATCAGTCCCGTATGTCATCACTGGCAGCACACACTGGTTGAAGACTTTAGTCTTCAAACATTGTGGTATATTCGGCGAGAGGCATTGCCGAAGTTTCCCGAACGCTGCCCATCCGAGTTGGATTCGCCGATTGACCTCTGCGTCGAAGTTGAACTTACCTAGCCGGACTAATTGTCCTAGATATACATATTGGTCAACAAATTCGAGCACAGTGCTCCCAACAATAACATTAGACATGATCTTCGTCTTGTCCATATTCATATTAAGGCCCACCCGTTGAGAGGCACTGTTTAAGGTCATTGAGCATAGTACTAAGGTCCGCCTGCGATTCTGCCATGATGACTATACGTCGGCATATAGAAGATGGGTGATGTATTCGCCATCGATGTTTATACCACGTTCTTTTCAGTCCAGAAGCTTGAAAACATTACTATGTTAATAATAGTTTATTCATGATAATTCATTTACCTAAAATTGTTAGTTATAGTTTTTTAGAAAATGAGTGATGAAGATGATAGTGTAATTTATGATTGCGACTGCAATAACAATTGTTCAATTTAAGAAAATGATCTCAGACTAAATGTTATGTTAGGTTAATTAGTTTCCTTATTTAATTTTGTACGTAGCGCATTTGTTTAATTTTTAATAAAGAATTTTATTCCATAATAATACATAATTGATTTCATTTATTTTTGTGCTTGATTTACTAATACAATTTTTGATTTAATGTCAATTACGAAGCTAGATTTGGAGTAATTTTAATATCTAGATAGAATTTCCACAATCACAAAAATCATTAAATAATGGTTAGGTAAATTTACTTGATTTATTAATTTAAACTCTGACTATTTTAGATCAATTTTTCTGTATCAAAATTTTAAACTAAGTATATTTACCTATTTTTACATGTTACAGCATATGCTACAGTGATGACTTATATAATTTTACCTGTTTATGAAATCAGGTAAATTTTATCTACCCGACACAAACTGGTGTTTATAAAAGTGTGAGCTGTCTTATTGTGACAATTTCAATAGCCACAAAAAAAAATAATTCTACCAGTGTTATCATCATTTAAATCGAACAATAAGTTGAATTTTTATGATTTTTTAAATTTATATTTGAACTTTAAATCACTCTCCTGTAAAATTTGCTAAGTGTCGCTTAGTTAGGGTTGCCTTTCAAGCGTCGATATGCAATAGATCAAGATGGCGTTACCCTGACTGTAGTTGAACTTTACAAAGAAATCATCTAAAATTGTAAGAACATTCGGGACAAAAGTTATCAACTAACCATTTAGGTCTTTCGTTTATGTTACTATTGACGCCATTCACATATGAGATACTATTCCTTCTACTCCACAAATCATGGTTGAAATGTATAAACCACTCACTGGCAAATAAAGAAACTTAAAATTAAACTCACTCGTTCAGATTATCCAGGTGGCAAACCTTCCCGCTCTGCCTGGCGACGGTCCTGACAAACTCGCACCCGCCGACCGAATTTGGATGCTGCGCCTTCTGGCATAGGGTCGCATATTCCTCGCCGTAGTAGCACTTGAAGTATTCCTGGAGAAAGCTCGGCAGCCAGGCGGCGAAATCGCTCCATTGGTTCTTCACGCTATTCAGCTTGACCTCGCTGATATAACCCTCCCAATTTACGTGCGCGCCCCCCAACACCGCGCATTTGATTTGCGTGGCGGCCATGTTGGAATCGGTCCAGGATGGGGAATTGCATTGGCTGTAATAATCCTCCCAATTTATGTGGTAGCTGTTGTCATCGTAGTCCGATATGAATTCGTTCTTCAGTAAATTCTTTATGCTGGATTTCTCGTCGCCTATTAACTCTATGAGGCCTGAAGGTAGGCCGTCGTCTTGTATGTCGCCTATCAGTTGGTTGCCGAGGTATATCAATGTGATTAGACCGATGGCGAGCTGAAACAGTCGAAATGAGTTAGGATAACTATTGAAGTCGAAGAATTTAGAATTTAAATACAAAAATTACAGCTTTCGTTATATAAATTACAGATTTTTTGGACTCAGCTTGTATGCTTTAAACCAACTGAGTTTGATTACTGAGCAATTATTATTACAAATTCAAATAACTTTATTCAATATAAAATCATTACACTTACATTTGAACTGTCAAGGCAATACTACCGGTTCGGAAAAGAAAAGCAACTGACCTGAGAAGAACCGGCTAAAGAAATTCAACGGGAGATTTTTCTTTATTTTCTTTAAGAAGGACACTTCTAGCACAAATATTCAACAATCATACGCACCTGGAACGGCGTGACGAATCTCTTCGTGGCATCGGACTTCGCTAACAGGCAGGTCACCGTCAGACTTGTTGCGAAACCGACTAGAATTGATGTGGCGTAGAACAGCCGAGACAGAGTGACGTACTGGAGAGCGGCGAATATCGGCAGGGTCACTGTTATAGCCCCCAATAGAGGGAGGAAGAGGAAAGAGCAGACCAGGGCGAGGGTGCCCCTTATTAGGCCGTAAGCGGTACACCCGTGGGAGCACGTGATGAACATCTGCAACCAGCTGAGGGTCACGCAGTGCGGCAGAGTGTACTTGAAGAAGCCCTGCCAATTACTTCTCCGCGCCATCAGCGTCAGTATAGCCGGTATGAGCAGCGAGAGGAACACCCTGGAGTTCACGCAGAACTCGATGCTGTTCCCGAGCACGTAGGACGGGTAGTTGGATATGTGCAGGTCGAGGAAACGCCAGCCCCGGTGCACCACCGTGTCCTTCTCGTACGGATATTTAGCGAGGACGTTTATGCCGAACGAGAGCAGGGCGAGGGGGTCCGGACGGGGAGCGCCGTTGGCGCAGAACGAGAACAGCGTGAGGAACGTCAGACAGAAGGAGAGGACGCACAGCTCGGAGAAGGGCACCCAGCGGCTCGCGACGAACGGGCATAGGAACAGATTCAACAGCAGCGCCACGAAGAACTGGACGAAGGGGCAGAGGTTGTTCCTGACGAACAGGTTCTCCGACTGGTCCGGCTCGAGGCCGCCGTCGCTGTACCGCAGGAAGAGACCGGACCACTTTCTGAAGTCGACGAACTGCCGTTTTGCCAGCAGCATCTTGAAAGTGCATACGACCATGCAAACGAAGCTGAAATAGTAGAGAGCGAGCGGCACCAGATGGTAGAGGTTCTCTGCGCTGGCAGATAGGTAGGCCGCCAGCAGGACGGCCAGCTCCACGTTGGACAGACGGAAGGAGAAGCCGCCGAAGTAGTACAGCAGCTTCAGGTAGAGCACCTGGACGAAGACCACCGGGTGGAGGAAGGCCTGGTGCAACAGCGGTATGTGGTCCAGCGACTTGACCCCGGGGCCCGTGAGGGTCAGCTCGTAGCTGACGAGGGGCAGCTCGCCCTGGCAGTAGTCCACGGCGGCGGAGACGAGGTTGTCCACGGTCAGATTTCGGATCGCTTCTCGGCGGTTGATCGGCTCCGTGTCATCTGCGAACGGCACTCTATTCTAATAGACTCTTTCATCCAATCAGACTTGAATGTAACGATTAAATTCACATTAACATTTTTATAGTGCACTATAAAAATTGAATTTCTAATAGAAATGGGGAATTCTCTCGTTCAAATTATCGTTGTAAAACGACATTCAAATTTTTTTTTGTATTCTGTAAAGGATATATATATATACAATGGATATATATATATAAACAATGGATGCGCCAAGCATTGCTTGAAATGCGAAAAAAAACAATGTAGATAAACGTTCTACATCTTTTTTATTTACAACAGATTTTTGTCGGTGTGGCCATCAGCCGTTTAGCTTAGGTTAAAGGTTTTAGAATGACAGTCTCGTACTGGCCATTTTAGTGTACGGCGACCCCCACTACATGGAGTAACGAACTTTCCATTTTTTTTTTAATATTATCCACCACCTTCAATATTCTATTTTCACTACTACAAGGCCATATACAAATATCAATCTAGTCAATGGAGGAGGCCTGTGTTCAGCAGTGGACTCAAACAGGCTGAAATGATGATCATGAATTAACTAAAATAAGGATTTACCATTATGATGTAAATCGACCGATGAAATAGATATAGTAATAGAGAGAGAAATTGGTACGTACCGTCATCGGTCGAGTGTGCGGTGCGGATTGTGCCGTTCGCTTGCAAACGGTCACCGGCCTCCGGTGGCGACGGCTCCAAAGCCTGCTCGTCCAAGGCGCGCGCCTCGTCTATGATAAGGAAATATATTCCCGAGGCAGCCAGAGATCAGAGAGAGAGAGAGAGAGAGAGAGAGAGAGAGAGAGAGAGAGAGAGAAAGGTATTGCTGTCTCTTGCTTATTCAATTGCGAGGAAGAGTGAAGGTAAATTGCCGAGGTAGACAGGGATAGTGCCAGTGCTGTCTCTTTCGTCTTTTATTCAAAATAAAAAATTCTTAATAAAAATGCGACAAAATCCGCAACAGTTCTATTTAAATACGAAAACCTAAACGAGAAATGTAAACGTATACAAGGGTGTTCCAAAAAAAAGCTACTACGCCGCGGAGTTACTACCTACCTGTTAACTATAATATGGACCAGCCGTACGCACCTGGTGTATCCTCGTCAGTAGCGTCGCTGTCGTCGGGATCTTTTTTGAGGGTAGTCGTGCATATCTCGCGTATCCGTCGCTCCAACTGCGCGGTCGTTATATACTGCTCGCCGTTTGATAAGCTGTCAAGTTTAATAATAAAGTTCATTCAACACCATACTAGATCAAGCACCAGCCCCGGGAATGTAGTCTTATATGGTCTAAGAGACCATAAAAGAAGACTTTATTCCTCTTGGTAGAGCTAGTATGGGTACTTCAGCCATTCACTAACTCCTTCACTAGATGAGTAGAAGCCCATTCAATCTAGCATTGAAGATAAGTTTGAATAGAATGGGAGATGGAGACAGAAGATTTTTTCTTGCGTGACTATGCAACAACACCACCAGAATCACAGTGTCCTAGGGTACTCTGATTCTGGTCGTGTTATGAACTCAGTGTGGAGATCTAGATGCACTCGATATTGAGACTCGAAAGGGCTCGAACTTCCACCTGGCAAAGAGGTCTCTGGCTGCTTGACCTCACACGGCAAAGAGGTCTCTGGCGGCTTGGCCTCACCTGGCAAAGAGGTCCCTGGCGGCTTTCCTGGCGACGATCTCCTGACGACTGGCGGCGAGGCAAGACTTGGCCCGTACTATCGCCGCGCTGTCTTCGTCGATTACCCCACTGCGTATGCATCTACAAAGGAGTTACAGTCTAAAAGTCCAGCTGTGGCCTTGTCTTGTCTTACGAGTTTGAGGGAAGCCTCAGCTTGTGCAGTTGCATGTTAGGCCCATATACGATGACTCCGTGGTGCTGTTGCCAAGGTATTGGCTTCGGCCTCGGGGGTCGTGTGTTCGATTCCCACACGGAACAATTATTTGTGTGAGCCGCAAGTAATGTTAATTGTTATTCGCTTCATCATCATCATTTCAGCCTTAAACAACAAGTAATCAAAATACAAAGGAAAGAGAGCAGTTTCGCCGAACCCGTTGTTTAAGATTACCGCTACAGCGCATAAACCATCAACAATGAATTTCTTACCACGAGAAAACTGGCGCCTCCATTGAACAATTTCTCAAGAAGCTCGTTGAAAGTATTCATTCCTAGCTAAACTACAATTTCAATAATTTAAATACTATTCAAAATACTAAGATATCTAACAAGAGATCGAAAATCGAAACAAAAAAAAAAGTCTAATGATAATTCGTCTGGTGAGGTGTATCTGTAAATGGAGAACAGTGTCAACTATCATAGGCTAGAAATAGTCCTGAAACCCTGCAGATTTTGTCGATTTCCAATTTTCTCAGAAGTATTTGTCCAAAAATGATGCCAAAAAAAACGAGTAAACTAGTTATTAAAATTGTTACCGATTCAATTGTAAAAATAGCAGCTAATTTTGGGCTGGACAACTTAAGGGAAATAGAAAAAGTGGACAGCAGTAATCAATGATCTGTCTTGTGTATCTTTGATAAGTTACAGGCAGTAATGATAGTGGTATGATTTTTTCGCTTAGTACATTACAGTATAGTTCATTTCTCATATGCATAGGTTCAAGAATGGTCTATTGCATGATTTACAGAATATTAGACGACCCTCTTTCATAGAAGCAATTATTAGAAAAATAACCATGCGGTGTGGAGCTTCCGCATTCCAAACTCCGAGACGTCGGTTTGATGTTAGATTATAACAAAAAAGACTCACAAAGAGCTGTGGAATTCCCTCCGAACCAAATCCCATTTCACTTTCCAGACGTTAAACTCGGGCAGATCATACATCGGCATGTTTACACAGATAATCAAATAAAATAGAATAAAAACGAACGAAACCAAAAACGTGTAAAAAGAATAACGATTGATCATTAATAATAAGGGGGGAGATTCATCTTCACAAAGCCCTTATTATAACTGTCGCGAAATGGCTTTCAGTTGCTTGCACTGTTTATGTTTACTTTACACGCGGCATGACAGTTAATCAACAATAAACATTACCTCATAACGTCTGTGGAATCCGTAAAGCGATGTTTGGGAAAATCATGAATATCTACCGCATTCCGCGCTATTTGACGTTTACGTTGACAGTTTTATTTTTTTAATCACAAGCGGGCAGTCGTGTTCTAAGATTGTTTATATTGACGGCATATCCGTATTTTATAATTTGGAAACTGACAAAAGTTGTAATTTATTTTGAACAACTTATTTAGCCTAGCCCAGAAGGTACAACGTTTGCTAGTGTGGCTCAACAAAAGTTTTTTTTTAAATAATTACTGCTTCCCGCGCGAAGCCGTAGCAGAACGCTATAACTAAATCATCATCTCAGCAAGCTTGAGTCTACTTCTGAACATAGACCTTCTAGTACCAAATAAAGTTGTTTGAAAAGTTTGCAATTTTAATGAAACTGTAAATACATACACACTTTTTAATCACATTATCTATACATATTTATGACAGCCATAGTAAAATAATCACCTTATTTCCCTGTATTAAATCAAGACTGATCCTCCATTACAGGCCATCTGACATCAATATGTATCATGTACTTAAATAAAACAAAAAAGTACACAATATAGTGTAAAATTAATTATTACATGTTATTGTTAAATCATCACATCAACATATTAATGATGCATTGAAACAACACTATATAGTGAGGAGCGGTATGAAATTTCTAGTCTGGTGTTGAACATCAATCTTCTGTATGTTTTTTTTAAAAGAAGGTATTGATAAAAGGTTATATAATTATATTTAATAACGATTTACTCTTACCTTCGTAACATTCTTCTAGCTTCTGGGTGCGCCTGTTCAGTAGCGCAGATTAACCATTCTAATGCTTGTTTAAAGTTTGATATTTTGTCTGCTTCGAGCTCTGTGAAGAATCATTAATATACTTACAAAAAAATTGTACCTAATAGTCATTAGGATAAATGCAGCTCTAAAAATACAGTTTCCTATTATACTTTATACCCTTAAGTTATAACTTTTTATCTCTATATTTATGGGATTTTCAGTATTCAATCTGATGTTAGTTAAGTGCTACTTCATTGTTAATATAAATGTGTTCCATTATTCAAAATAAAATTGTCCTTACCTTAAATATTTATTTACTTGTTTAAATAATATTTTAATTTAATATTTTTTATGTGAAAAATTGCCAAAAGAGCAGACAGTTCACCTGATGTTAAATGAATACCACCGCCCATGGATATCTGCTAAACCTGAAGGTTCCAGATGCATTGACAACCTTTGGAAAATTGGGCTCCGGCCACCTCACTCACCAGATGAAACGTGAAAGTATTATACTTCCACTTTATGCCGGTCTTCTGTGAAGTTGTGGCACTTACCTGGACAAGCCTGCCCATTTGTGCAGCAGCCGAGACTGCTATGTGGCCTTACCACCGTAAAGGGTAGGGCCCTTAGCAGCAGCACCATATTTGACTGTTTACACATCTTTTTTTTAACTGTAATAAGTACTAAGTAAACAGTTACCACATTTTTCTTCTAGAAGCTGTTTAGCAAGCACTACTTGTGATTCTGCACATCCATCTTCAGCTAGTTGATTTCTTAACCGTTTCAATGAGCCTTGTGGTCCATCTGAAGTAACAGAACATCATCAAAAGTAAACAATCATAATATAAAAAAATGAAATAACTATTTGCAGAATGAAATCTCATCGACTTCCCATCCGTCTGATCTGCCGATGGATGCAGGTGGCTCAGGATCATACACAATGGCAGTCTATGGGGGAGGCCTATGTTCAGCAGTGGACTTAAACAGGCTGAAAGTATGATGATGATGAACTATTTGCCCTAAAAGTGGTCAGCTATCAATAAAGTAATAAAACATGGTTCTTAGATAATGATCACATACTTCCAAAATATGATTGCTAGAGGCATTGAAATTAGTGTGTAATGTGATTGTAATGTCAATCATTGTGTAGACATTATCGACACAATAATAATTGATAGTAGAATTATTAATATACAAATAATGTTCATAAACGTTTCCTAAATAAAAAATAAATTAATGAAAGCATACCTACTTAAATGTGTTACTCAAATAAAATGGTTAAAATTCAAATTAATTTACCATTTCATCATTTACTTAAACTTAACGTACCTATTTTATTCGGAAATCCATGGCCTTCTGTACACAAGGTAAATTAAAATATCAATAATCATAGAAAATGTAACATTTATGTAGCTAATTGACTACGAAGATCCATCCAAGCCACACCTTAAAGATACTAAAACATCTTTAAGCGAGATCCAAAATAAATTTATTTTTTGAATTCTGTATTAAGAAAGCAAATATTTAGACTTACCATGAAGATTCCACCGTTTTCGTCCAACAGGCATGACCTTTACAAAAGATATGCTTTAAATGTAGTTTTATTCAAATGCAACAACGAGGAAAATATTTATAAACAATCAACAAAAATATATTTTGATTTAACCATTCATCCCAATACCTTTATTTTGACAGACGGTGAACAGACGGCACTGGATTGAGCTGAGAAGTGAGACGTCGGTAATTTTGTAATATGCTCATTAAATGTTTGCAAACTTTATTAATTACTTTTACATTAAACAAATATTTCAATTCAACTTGGGACCAACAAATTATCGAGATGGTAAATAGATTTAAAATTAGAAATAAATATTTTTCATCAGCGGTTAAATTCACTCCGCCTACACTAACTAAACTCACTCTTCCACCTACATCCCTTCAAGTTTTTTCTAGTTTTGTTAGTTTATTTTTAGTGTTTATAAATAGAACTCTGCATGTGAGAATTTCAAAATAGCTTACCAAAAATAGTTAACAACCCTTTTACAATTCTTTCATGTGAGAAACAAAATTAGTAATATAATAATATTGCTTTTATAAGAAGTGGCAATACATAACGTTAATATGCGTTTACCGTTGATTATACAACGGTTTAAATGTTATTATAATCGAAACACTACCTCTAGCTCCGGTATTGATCGGAAATCACTTAGATAATCAGGGTGTATCTGACATTGTAATTATATAATCTGTTGTCATTACATACAAAATTCAACTAGACGGTCGGACGGAGCGGTCAGCGGGCGGGTGGAGTTTAAGCAGTGTCGGCGATATGTCAAATGTTTTTCTCCTATAAAACTGCTTGTTCTTTATTTGCGTAGTGTTGCGATGATATTGTAAATTTAAAAAAAATGCTGACTCCAAGGTTCAAGTTATCTCAGGACGAGAATCACATATATATAATTGTGCACGCCCCATACACGAACATTGGAGAGACGGAAATCGATATCGATGGAGAAAATTTCTTGTTCGTATCAAGTCCATATTTTCTTCGTCTTCGACTTCCAGGAAGAATAATTGAAAACGATCACTCGAAAGGTTCTTACACCTGCGATTCAGGTGACTTTCATCTTACCTTTGACAAGGAAACTCCTGGTGAGCATTTCGAAAATCTCGATATGATTACTAGTTTATTAGCTCCTCGAGATATACCCGATATGAATCCGCATTTAGTGGAAATGTTGGAACAAGATGGAGTAACTGTTCATAATAGTGAGGAAGAAGATGAAAGTGATGATGATGGAGTTAAATTCGCATATGGGTTTGCTAACAAAACTACTGTTGAATTCGGTGACATTGGCAACGAATTTCCGCAAATTTTTGAATTGAAAGAACCTGCACGCGTTTCTATAAAACAACGTAATATTCTTCGAATCGAACATGAAAACAACAAATTTTCAACAGACCATTACTGGGCCGATTATTTTGAAAAGGAACTTCTAGAACCGTACCTCACTGCTGTAGTGTATTGGAACAAGCCTGAATTCAATAATGACATTGAGTTCACTGATGAGGAAGTAGGAATATTGAAAGATCTGCCAAATAAAAGTTATTTATTGAGTAAGAATGAGTACCAGCAAGTCATGCTTGGTCTTGTTGACATACTTTTTGCCTTCTGCTATGACAAAAGAACTACGTACAATGAAAGCACTGTGGAATCCAGCTGGACAATCAACAAATTGTCATCAACCTTGAGCTGGTTTTGTGTATTTAAAGAAACTAAGCAAGTGTTGGTCGCCAGTTATAGGCGGGCCTTGATCTACCCAATATTCAGAAATTTCATGCTATGTAAAAAAGTTCATGACGATCTTGTGTCCATGTTTAAAAAGGGCAAAAAGTTTATCATCAAATGTGTTATAAGCATATTCACAATGTTTCATGCAAACACTGATGCCAGATACATTCTCAATCAGCTATACATAAAAGATTACTTGATTTTCCTACAAAAATGCAGGTCTGAAGAGTTAGATGAGTTGTGTAACAATATTGCCAATGTAGAGATACTTAAAAAAGATCTTGATTTGGAACTAGAAGAATTGGAGGCAGCTGGTGAGATTGTGCACAGGGAGGAATTTGTTGTAATGGAAAATGAAATGGCTCTCAAAATGGCATCTATGTCATTGATTCCAGGATTGAAGAAGCATAATTTGTATTTGGATGATAGTGAGGATGATAGTGACTCTTCTGATTCCAGTTCCAGTGATTCATCTGATGACTCTTCAAGTGATTTAGACTCAGATGATGATCCCTCATGATATAGTAGTGTCTTGGGCTTGGCAGGCAAAGGATTGTAAAGTCTTTTGCCTGTATAGCCCAAGGCCTTTTAAGGCACAAAAGCCTGCCGGGAAAGACTGAACTTGAAAGTATACCAGTTACAGGAATTGAACAGTGAATGATGTACTTGATATTGCAGGGAAAAATTGGACTATTGTGAAACTTGGCAGACTTTTATTATATGTATATTGGAATTAGGATGCACTGTTTTGTTGTAATTATAAAATTTTCAAATTTGATGTTATGTAATGGAAATTATGGAGGAAATCTCTAATTGTTTTATATATGCTGTAATATTTAATTAAGTTGAAAAATGTATTTTGCCTTGAATAACTTCAATATGTGTAGTTTGTAGTTTCCAAGCATTTGAGAAGCTTTAATTTGTCTGTAGATTTTTCTTCAATATTAAGCTTTGTAACTACATTAGTGTTATAATAATTCAGAAAATAAAAACGCTTTATGCTTTAGCGAATAGGGCGTTTCCATAGATTGAGCATTTAGTAAGTTACTACTCCAAAATTTATTACAATTAAAAATAAATTACTAGTGATTATTCAATAAACTTAATGGAATAGGATAAATAAAACTATATTGCAGTTTATCAATGTATTCTGTGAACTAACCTATAGAGATTTTGACAATTGGTAGAAAAGTAAATAGTAATTCAATGAACATTTACTCATTAAAATATTTAAAACTTACTCACATATTATAGTATTAAAAATAATATTGCAAATGTCATAAAATTGATAAAAAAATATTTTAGAGTAGAAAACATATAAATATTCACTTTTGATCTTATCTTAAACTATTCCTAATAATTAATTAGTAATAATTCCAAAGCTTTTTTCTTCACAAATTCAAGGAATGAATAAAAAAACTGACAGAATGTGAGTAAAAAGGAGGATTTTGCAATTTGCATCGTTTATTTATCATGTATGTGTAATTCAATTAGAAATAAAATATTTCAAAACCACAGTATTTATATTTTGGACCCTTTTTTGGTGTATGGCACGAGTATGGCACGAGTAATGGCACACTTAAACTTAAATAAAATTGCAAATTTTCTAGTTTATCAGAATAAATTTCCAAAATTGTAGGAGAGCCTCACAATAACTCAGAAGGTCATTGTTAAATGAATATATACTCTTTCATATTTCTGTCTGGAATTTTACAACTGTATTACAAACATTTGAGAAGGAGAGTTCTGCAAATATATTGATAATAGTTTTACTTTTGGGCAGTCTGACATTTGTTCAGTTTTTAGAAGATAGGCATACCCTAAATTTGGTTATTAGTAAATACTTTTAGTAAATACTTTATTTTACAAACTACATGCACAAAACACTATACAGGCGGACTTATTCTTGCTAGTCAATCTTAGGGCATGCACCTAACTCAACTTCTCAGTACTGAAATCATAGAAAAATCATACTAATTAAAGAAAAATATAGAAATATTACAAGTGTCTTATATAATATAATACATAATACAATAATATGATTTCATACTATCATCGTCATCATCATCATTTCAGCCTGTTTGAGTCCACTACTGAATATAAGAATCCTCCATAGACTGCCACGTACGATCCTGACACACCTGCATGCATCGACATCTTCGAAATATTTTTTGTTATTATTTCGAAAATATGCAGGTTTTCTCACGATGTTTTCCTTCACCGTCGGGCACTTGATAAGTCAGACAAATTAACAATTTCATTGGTGCTGGCACCGGGGATCGAACTCAAGTAAATAGAATTAAAGGCAAGCGCCCGGACACAGAGCGGATTACGGCTCTGGATGACCACTGGATGACCTTCACCAATGTGGTGCTTTAGTTGCCCTGGTTCGGTCGCTCGTGCAAGATGCAATCTAGCATTAGTGCAATCGGGCCTGGACCATTGTTATATGCGGCGTCTCAAGATGTAAATAGCAGTTACCATAAAAAGGAGTAAATTTCAATTTTGCCTATACGTCCTTAGCAGCCGTTGCATCAGCAAGGTCAGAGCACATTGGCAGAGGTTAGTGCGCTTTCCTTCGGGAACTCGAGGCCTCTCGCCGTGGCTGTTCAACGGAATTTCAAGAAATACTTCTGGTTGTTGCTATATTTTTCCCATCTCTACACAGGGGTTATGACTCGTTCGCCCACCAGCACCACATATATTTTGGTACATTTTATTTCTAAGTCGACACATAAGGGGAACTCTCCGCCGACTGTTTCAGGTTTATGCACAGTTTAGTGCGTAAAGCAGTTTTCCCCCTAGACATCTTGAAGTTCAGTGGTCGTGACAGAATACCTTCTATTTTATTGTTGGCACCAGTCCAACTTCTAAGGTATAGACTCGAATTCTTTGAAGAGGGCTTTAGTGCACTCGATCCCTATAAAAATGTGAACGCATAGATCCGATTCCTATGACCTTTTCTTCCTTTAAAGTAACCTGTGAAACCCTAGCTGATTATCGATTGTCAGTATAGTTTCTGTCGGGGTCACTGAGCTGGCGATCTGCTTTACCTGACACATTGATGGGCGAAGGCGGTTCAAACTAACATGGGGCCATGTCGATAAGTTTGGACGAAGAAAGCCTTCGATCGGATTTGGATCAAAGCATTTCTTTCCAAGATTATACGGGCTTGCTTGTGCTCTGAGTAATTTTTTCAATTAATAGATATTAACGGTGGCGTCAAACGGCCAAATACCATCGAAACCACCTTGATATTTGGCAGTCCACCATTGTATTTCTCAGGCTATTTTTTGCCATGCACAACCAATTTGTGGAATCTGTTTTTTCAGCGATATTTCCGAACGTTGTCGTTTCCTATTTCCTGTGACATTAATCGATAAACATATTTGACGGGCTGCAGAAGCGTTGTTATGCTTTAAAAAAGCAGGGCCCGGTTAACTCATTAACCAGACTAAATGCGAAACTATAAAAGTTACATTTTACGCCTTTCATGAGGATACTTCCCCGGACGAGCGTACGGACGGGCGGACAAGCAGAAGTTGCTGTGTTTATATAATTATATATTATAAATACTTATTACAACATAAAAAAAAATACTGGAAAATCTATTGCAGCTTTTGAGGTTGATATCGAAAAAGAAAACAATCAATGTAATTAAGATTATATTATTATTTTATATACATTTAATTACTTAAGGAAATTGATCAAAGCAGTGACAGTTATTAGACCCAGTATCGCAGTGCTCGCGCTGCTCTTATTTATACCATAAGGGTCAGGGTTGTAATCGTAGTCAACGGTGCCGCTTCTGATGATCTCCTTGTAAACGAACGCAGAAGTACGAGGGACTCTAGTCCTTGCGGGATCCGTCATGTCTATTTCGTACAGGCCGTATTTCAACCTGGAAATTTAAAATTATTAACTTAATTCTAACATGCGAACGAACTGCGGTATGCTTATAAATTTAAGGAGTCATATTTTATGCGCAATGATGGCATGACCTGCCCATTCGTGCAACAGCGAAGTTTGTGGCGTGGCCCTACCAAAGTTAAAGAATTGATTGAACAAATTACTTACGTATATCCCGAATCCCATTCAAAGTCGTCCATTAGACTCCAGGCAAAGTAACCTTTAATATTTACCCCGCTCTTTATTGCACCAAGCATGGCGGTTATATAATTTCTGAGGTACTCTATTCTAGCGGTGTCCTGTAGGCCCTTTGGAGTATTTTTCCCATTCTCCGTTACATATATAACTGGGTCGTTATAGTTTTCTCTAATGTAATTCAATAGCTTGTAAAAACCTGGCGAGTATTCCTGTGAAAAGAGTGAGTTCGATTAAATATTAATTTAAAAACAAATTGTTGAATGCCACATTTTTATTTGTTCTACCACAATCATCCAGGAAAGGAACCTTGCGAGGATATTTGTGAGAATATGTAAAATCCTACAAACAAGGTTAAAACAGGTTGACTCTCCAGTTACCCTACTAACATAATGAATAAAAAAGGCGCGTTTTCAATATGATTTTGTTATTCCCGACGTTTCGAACCCTTGCCCCGTGATCATGAACGCTGGAAAGTGTTCGAAACGTCGAATTACAAAATAAAAAAAAAAACCCCGATTAAATCCGTACACTAGTTTCATTTAATATGTATAATATTCCCGTAAAATCAAGAAGTCAATAAATAAAATCTTTGATTAGGCTTTGGTACTTCCCCATTTGTGACTGATAACAATGCATGGGATTGGAACGAAAAAGATTAAAACAAACAGACTTACCCATAGTTCCATACTGCGATTTTCGGATTTTGTTCTTGAACTATTTGTGTAATAGGCAAAGTAGCCATCGTCTTCCGCGGAGGGCACCTCGAACATTCCCTGCAGAGATTCGTTTCTGTAAACGATGTCAATGTCGTAATGATTGAGCGCGAAGAAATCGGACGTTCCTTTTATGTAGACCGCCTCCTCTTCGGTAAGGCGCCTCAGCCTGGACTTGTTATAGCCTTGGTTGTAGCTCGCCGTCTCCACCCTCTCCAGTAGGAGGTCGGGGTAGTTACCCCTCTCTGTAAATATCGGGTCAGCGTACTGTCCCAGCTAAGAGCAGAAATCATGCGTCAAATATATAGTGACAAATCAACGACACAAACTCAATAATAACATCTGTCGGACATTATACCGCACCATACGGAAATCTTTAAAAATACAAGAAAACAATTTCATTAGTTAAAGCGGAGCATTCAGTGTTAATTGTAATGCCTTTCATTTATTACTATTTTGTGCGAGGTTCCATTAAATGAAATGGATTTAGCGAGTATGCTATTACCTAAACAGTTTAGGAATCGCTGATGTACTACAGTGATCAAATTATCAACGCGAACAGTTAATTGTTTCGTGTTCGAAATCTTGCACAATTTTTATTAATGAGGTGAAAAGCTCACCACCTGTCACTTTACCAGAAATTAATAGTTCCTGTGTACATAATTTTATTATTATCTTTTTCTCACCAAGATCTAATTGCTAACGGAGAAGTGTACATCACTTACGTTAAAGGCGAAATAACTGTTGACCGCGTCTAAGTCGTCTTCCGAGTCGGTGTCGGGCTCGGGCCAGTTCATGCTGAACACCAGGCCGACTTGGCCGCCCTGAGAACCCCTGAACTCGTCGTAGGCCCGATACGCCCTCGCGTTCGCCATTAAAACGTTGCGGCCGCAGTCGTAAAAGCCCTGGCCGGGCGATCGCACGCCGGGTGCGTGTTCACCGATGCCATAGCCCAGCTTGCAATGGATATACGGCTCGTTGATCGTCATCCAGAACTTCACCCGGTCGCCGAAATTCTCGTACAGCACCCGCGAGTAGTTGCCGAACCAGTCCACCACCTCGGCGTTAAGCCAGCCGCCTCGCTCGCTCAGCGCTTGCGGCAAATCCCAGTGGTACATCGTGACGAAGGGCGTTATACCATTGGCCAGCAGTTCGTCTATCAAGCTGTTGTAGTACGCCACGCCCATCGGGTTCACGTAGTCGGACGTGCCGTAAGGTAAAATCCGCGGCCAGGATATGGAAAATCGGAACGCGCCGACCCCGAGCTCCGTCAGCATTTCCACGTCGCGTTTGTACAGCTCGTAAGAGTTGGCGGCCACGTCAGCGTTGCTCCTGTCCGCGATGGCGTCGGGGTTGTTCTGAACAAAGTGGTCCCACATCGATGGACCTTTGCCTGAAATAAACTTATGTTGCAATAATTTCTTGTGTTCAATACCACATTTTTTATGATGAAGAAGGAAATCCGTAATATAACCAAGATGGATCTACAACATACAGGTGTGTACGGCACGTTGCGTCGACGTAGTTTACTTCATGTGCGTCGACGACAGGCATAGAGGACTAACTGCAGGCATCGAGACTAGGACGGGTTGCATTGCCCTCTTTATGATCTCGAACCGGCAGCGCTTAGTATTTTTGTGCGCCGATAGGGAGAAAAAACTGTCCGTCGCTGTTTCTTAAGAAATTATGGGACGGATCCAACACCGTCTTGTTATTTTACGTCGTTGTCGGCAGTGACGTAGTCATTGGAGTAACGCCCGACATCTTTTCCGATCTATTTTGCAATGGTCGCATGCTTAACAATTTTTGCGTTGCGACGATGCAACGTGCTGTGTGGACAAGCGCTAACTTCTAACTAGGAATAAAAAATCCGTATCAATATATTGATAGGTTATTCCATTACATATGTGAAATAAACCAAAATTTAAAATTAGTTTCACATAATTATCCTATAAATAGATAAAATAAACATATTGAGATGTTTAAGAAGAATCCTTGACCAAATATAGCCTGTCTTAAAAGTAAAATGTGTTACATCTTGATATTAAAAATCTGAAAGACATATCTATCTATGCTTCAGATAAAAGATGTGCGAAATGGCAGTAGGGAATTTTTATAATCAGAAATCAAAACGTTGGCACACTGCTAGAAGTAGGTAAGACTGTTGACCACTAAGACTCGGGGACGAGTCTCGAACTGCGAGAGAACATTAAAGTACGTTGCGTAATAACGTTTTTTTATTTACTTATTTTTACAGACACAAAAAAGTATACATGTTTTAGGACGAAAAACATAATAAAAATTATCCGATCATACACATACGACATGAATGTACTACTTTGTAATAATTTCGATACCTTTGACTCAAGAGTAATGAAATGATAAAATCTGAATTTTAAATAATCATTAATATAACATAATAATTATAACAATACACAAACATAAATAATTTCAAATCAAATTAGTTTCAACAATTTGAGGTGGCAATTTCAAAGTTTCAAACATCTTGTCAAACAAATTTGAGCAGTTCAATTCAGACATAATAATAAATAAAATGTATTTTTTCTTTTATTTTATTATGGTCGGTTAGTAATATAAAAGGATATAAGGAACCAAGCCATATTTTTCAAAATATATTAAGTATTGTCATGACCATGATACTATCAGCCTGTCGAGTACGGCAATATAGAATAGATAAAGGTAAATATATGAGCTCAGTAGTCTGGTTTCTTGGGTGACATAGTCCCATCTTTTGGATTTTTATGTGGGATTGGCAGTAACATCTATATTTCACTTTTAGGAGTAAGTCTATGTTATTTGGTTTTGCCAGATTAATAAGTACCTACTAGCGACCCGCCCCGGTTTCGCACGGGTGCAATGTATTATACATATAATACTTCCTCTTGAATCGTTCTATCTAATCTCTATTTAAATATCTAAGCGTATATAGGGAAAGACAGACAGCGGGACGACTTTGTTTTACACTATGTACTATATGTATAAGTATAAATAGGGGGATTATCTTTGAAAAATGTGGACATTCGCCCGTTGAATAAGGTAACCGGGGCCCATTTCTTAAAAGGTTGTGGATGCATCTATAGGCCCTGAGGATTAAATATGTCCATGGACAGCGGTAATCACTTAACATCACATGAACGGCCAGCTTGCTTGCCATCTTATTACATAAAAAAGTCCTCCTTTTCAATATTTTATACTCCTGTCCTGCCTTATCTGCTTATATTTCCTTCATAAAAACATAAATAATCCTATTCATGCGGTTGCTGTTTATTTTTTTGTTAATGTCTTAATATAATCAACTAGCTTTTCGCCCGCGGCTTCGCTCGCGTTGAATCCATTAAATAAATATCTTTCTTTAAAATTTTTTTCCAATTAAAAAATAGCCTATGTCCTTCCTCAGGTTCTAGACTATCTGTGTACCAAATTTCATTTAAATCGGTTACTTTCGCATTTATAATATTAGTATGGATAAGGCCTAATAGCGTTATTGACCAGTCCAGACCGTGACCATGAATGCTGTAAGATAAATTTATGTAGTTACATTTTATTATTAAGATTTTAATAATAAAATGTAACTATAATATTTAATAGTAAATAAGAAGTTCTGTTGAACTTATTGAAGATGAAATTAGATATTTTAAATGAACTTACCGTCCGCGTCCCAACCGCCTTCGACTTGATAAGCTGCGGTTGCAACACCAAATAGAAAGTCTTCGGGGAAGCGATCCGTATTGCCAGAAGAGTCGTTCCTTACATAATGGGCATAAGTCCCGGTTGTCCTACGATACAAAAAAAGAAACAAATTATAAGTAGTCCTGAAAGAACAGAAAGCGGTGGCAGTGACTCGGTCCACAAATTGTCACGTTGACGAATAACAAGTTTGTTAAAAAAATTGGTAGTGGGCAATTATTTGGGGAACGGTTTATTTGTCTCACAGCCCCAACCCGTATTGTGTAGTTTCGTGTCTTTAGTAACAAAGCAGTATCATGATCTGCTGCTACTATTTAAGCGTTCTCTTTTTAAGTTGGTAAACTTCATTAACTTTGCGTCAACAAATGCATCAACTCTCTATTAGAGATAATGTTTACAATGGAAAAAGAAATAACATACTGTTCTCATAAAATTATCTTATCATCATCGAAATGACTCACCCAGGCGGAGCCGCATCTAATAGTTAGCTATACGCGTTAATTCACATGCTTACTGTTTTTCTTTATATGCTTTGTCTTATATTTTATTAAAACGACTAGGCTTAAATAATTCGTTTGACATGATGATTTCTTGTACTTATTTATGCGATTACACATTACTAATTGCAACTAATTTTACGGATTTATCGCGTTTATTTTTAATTCTATTTCCCAACGTTTCGCGTCCTTTATATCGTTTATGGTTATGGTGCTACCATCAGCTTGGGATCCTATCATATATAAATACTATTAAATCTGAGCCCAAACGAACCACTACTGCAAGACAAGACCACCACGTAAATTTAAATTCAATATAAATAATTATATACATAAAGCGAAATATCACATACCCGAAAATCATTTATTTTTCATATTATAGTTTTAAAATCTATAATTATAATGAAAAAATTTTGAGCCTTTGCGTAGACTATTCGAAATTCAGGGAAAAAGAAATAAAATCTGTGATTTGCGATCCGTAATCGTATGAATAGAGTTTTTCACTTTAATTCGGATATTGGATTTAAAATTTTAAATCAATGATAGACGTCTTAGTTTTGTTGTGGCCAGAGATGTTTCAGGAAATTAAAATTACTTAAGTTTAAACTATATTAAAGCCATTGTATAGAATAGGTACCATATCCTGAAATACCGGCAACGCATTTGCAAGCCCTTGTTGCAGATGTTGCCACTATTTCTATATAAAAAAAATATAGCAACGCAAATGTGACTCCTCTGATTTTGCAAGTGTTCGAGCATCGGTGATCGCTTACCATCAGGTGACTCACTTGCTTATTTGCTTCCCTTTTCCATAAAAAAATAGACAACATTAAGCTTACCAAATGAGAAGGGCGATAGTTGTATACATCTTTTAGCACACAATGGTTGACTAAAATAGCAAGCGCACTCAGGCTCGCTTTAAGCATTTGTTCATCATGTATTTATCGCGCACTTCAGATATGTGTATCTCGACATTACGCAAATCTAAGGACACTTCCAGTTTTTGACAACAACGTAACACTTTAACGCAGTAAATTTATGAAATTAAGTGACATTTAGAAAAAAAGTTACTATCCCTTTAGTTAGAAGCGCATGTGTGATATTTTGAATATCAGGCGTTGCAAAACATTAAAACATACTGTTTGTGTTTCCAATCATCGTTGTTAAACGTAGTTGAGATAGTTTATGTCCTGAAAATGGCCAAAAAAATTAGATTATTCCGCAGCGGTGAAAAATTTTTCTTACCAGTTTTTTTGCAAATTTTAATTAAAAAATTTTTACCAAAGATTGTTACCAATAAGCAATTCAAATGGTTAACTTGATGTTTATTTAAATGTATGTTTAATTGATAAGTTGTGGAACAAGTTTACCCGCTGCGAGAATTCGAACCTGCGTCGAATTCTTTGCGCCATGGTGGAGGAGTTTATAGTATACCGACACTCACAAATAACATTTTAAAATGAATATTTAACCGTGTTGTTTTGCGATTGAGATTTATTTAATTATCTTTTATTTAATTTGAAGTGCTAGTCTCTGCACTTAAGGAGAAACTTAAAATCTCTTTGGGGACTGCCGATAGAAGTGAAAACTTCGTGAGTTAATAATAATTAATGTATTTATTTATAAATAAAATAATTATTATGTTAAAATCATTTTTAACAATTATTTTTAAGTTAAAAATTATTAATATACAAAATAATAATACTTAAAATAAATAAAAAGCGTCCGGTGACGATGACGCGAGATCCACGATTGTTCTTCACTCAAAAGTACACATATACACAGTGTACTAGCTCATGGAAAGCGTTCGGTGATGATGATGATTTTGTACATCGAAAAAGTGCTCACCCAGTCTAAAGTACCTGCACGTTTGCTCTGTGAAATTATGCATGCTCTAGTCACTAAGCTAAACGGAAGAACTCCACGCGAAATTTCTGGACGGTCCGTCGTCTTATTTTATATTATATCGATATTATTCGACATTATTCGATATTATTTTTTTATGTTGTTTTCTTGATACTTCTACTTTCTACTTTACGGATTTTATCGCGTTTTTTATTATTTTTAATAATGCTTGAGGATTATCTATGTCATTCCTTTACAGCAATCAAACCTCGAATATGACAATGAATATTTGAAAACAAGAGGTGTCGCTTTCGCTACTTGAAATTTAATTTTTAATTTTTTGTGCTAGTATCGCTGCACTTAAGATGAATTTGATTTCCCTCATGAGTCATCTGGCCTTGTGATGTATCTACAGTTCGGCCTAATTCAGTCGGATATTCAAAAAGATAAGATGTTAAAGCTATCTGGTAACCTGGAAGAAAACTCGGTGAGAGACTATTGTTTGTATTTTTTTAATAGGCTTATTAGGGTACTTCATTTTATTAGCTATTAGGTACTTAATACGGAATTGTTATGTTATTGTTTGGCATATTGCATCAAGTGTCTTTTAAATAATATAATAATTTTTCATTATCAAAGCATTGAAAAGGGGTACCATCTAGGACAATCTAGCAGCTGCAAATAGGAAAGGACCGATACACTTTGATGTGACAATATTGACAAAAGCTATAAATGTATAATTGTCATCTCTATATGAAAAGAACAAGCACCTAAAAGGAAATTTGAATGCAGTTATTCAGAAGCCGGTTTAATTTATTGAGGTGATCTGCATTTAGGTCAAAGCAGCACACGTCGCCATAGTCGATTAAAGGAAAAGCTAAGGCCTGTACGAGCGTTACTTTAGTTTTTATCGGCAGGAAATTTTTAAGTCTGTAAGGACAGCGCACGACACTAGTTACCTTTGGCTGACACTAGCTATTTGATCTCTCCAACAAAACGTCCCGTCAATGAGCAAACCTAAATTCAATCATTTACAGACTCCTAATATGATGGATTCTGCATAGAACCACAACAGGTTGGAACCAGAGTCGGGTAAAGAAGGGCCAGGTTTTCTTACACTACAATTATTTATGTGAAAAGGTAGTAAGTAAGCTGGCGGTTCACCTGATGTTAAGTGATAACCGCCGCCAATTGAGATTTTTGCAAGATCTTGAGCGTTGCAGATGCGTTGCCACCGCATATTAAAATTGGGCCCCGGCAGAAGTATAACACTTCTACTATACGCCGGTCTTCTGTGAAGTCGTGATACTTACCCGGGCAGACATGCCCGTTCGTACAACAGCGAAGACTGTTGCGTAGCCCTACCACAGTTTGTGTTGTGAAATGTGTTAGCATCTTCCTCTTTAAAACATTTATCAAAATGGACATCAACGTCACCATTTTGAAAAGTTGAATTGAATACATTCAACAAGGTTGATAAAGGTGTTGTTCTGCCATATTCATTACGACACTCTTTAATATGAAATAGTTTGTAATTTAAATTAAGAGACAGGTAGACAAAATGTCTCTACCCCTTTAATTGAAAGTGCATATGCATATGCTTGTTTGGTTTGGTGTCAGTTATTAAAATCTATAAAAGAGGAAGATTTTTATCTTTATCCCTTATCCACGGCGTGTGCAAAAACTCATTACCTATATACTTGTCTAGATGGAGCATACAAACGTCGCACTGAAACTGTCTCCAAATGCATAAGTGTGAATACAGGCCAGGCTCGATACTTATTGTAAACAAACTGTCAAGGTGTGCGTGTTTAGGGATGCCTGCTCCAAATTATTAAATTACGTTTTCTTTATTTAATACGGTTAAAATTAACATGTTACGTTGAATAAAGTAATTTTGTATCTTATCCTTTAAACGAGCAATTCTTGTATACAGCGTGTCGTTACCATCGCGACAATAAATGAACACACGTCTAATACTACTTGCCAATAATCATAAAAAAGTATAAACGTTAAACAAAATCCATAATTAAAAAAAAATATTTTTCAAACAAACTAATTAAGTAAAAAAGAAACAAAATTTGTAACATCCTATACAACTCGCGCCACAGCGTCGCATTACAAGCCTCTCCTTCTAACAGTATGTTTTGTCTCTTTTAAATTCATTCAACCCATTCATATGCTTTGTGACCTTTACAAATGAACTTTACCTTACAGTTTTATACGTAAGGGTGTTCTAAAATTGTTTGTTTTGGAAAATTTAATAACTCGGTAAATATTGATGTTTAAAGAATGTAAATCTTTAATACAATTTAAAAAAGTTATCCTCTATATGTATGTTCATTTATTGTCGCGGTGGTAACGACACGCTGTATATATATCATCGGAATCTCGGAAACGGCTCCAGTGATTTTCTTGAAATACCACATACTAAGCGTAGATTCGGGGGAGGAAAATCGATCTAGCTAGGTTTCATTTTTAGAAAATGTCCTTTTATCCCTGTTTTCTGGGAATGAAAAATATCATTCGAATATGACGGTAAATTTCGCCGCAAAATAAAAGTTTTAATAGCTCGGTCGGTAATCGGTCAGCCCCAATACAGACGGCCGCGGTTCGTATCACGATCATTTACACATTTTTTTTAATTTTTTTTATTTCCAAAATACATGATTTACCAAAAAAAACCGAGCTAAGCTCGGTCCTCCACGTACTCTTTATTTATTTTAGTAACAACAAAAAATACAACGAAAAGAAATTGTATTTTATAGATCATAACCCATCTCTATGTGTTTGATTTCGGAGAAGTTTTTTCTTTTATTTTATTGCTTGAGTTACGTTTACAAATACTTTTATGTATTTATATGTTTATAAATCTAATTTACCTGATAATATATAATATATAATTTACGGTGGAAGGGCCACGCAGCAGCCTCGGCAGTTGCACGAATGGGCAGGCTCGTCCGGGGGCAAGTACCACGACCTCACGGAAGGCCGGCGTAAAGTGGAAGTGTAATACTTTCGCGTTTCGTCTGATGAGTGAGGTAGCCGGAGCCCAATTTCCAAAAAGGTTGTCAACGCATCTACAAGCCTTCGGGTGTAGATGATGTCCATGGGCGGCGGTATTAAAATTAGTATTCAAATTCAAGGCAAATTTTCACATAAAAAAACCAATGGCTTTTTTATTGTTCAAGAGTAAATTGTTAGCTCTAAATCAATGCACTACAATGGATAGAGTATTGTTTCCATAGTCAAAATTTAAGGTTGTTTTATTTTAAAAACTAAAGAAGTATCATTAGCAAACAATATGATTTATATTGGTAAGAAAGAGAAAAGGCGCACGAATAGCTCCCTGTGGGACCCCATATTTACCAGGGGGCCGGTAGCCCTTTTCCATCTTCATCAACTCTTAAAACTCAATGGCTCAAGTACGATATCAGAAGATTGAGTGCGGTATCTCTTATATCATATTTGTGTAGTTTCGTGACCAGAGTATCATGCTGTGCTGTATGTAATCAAAGACTTTGGTTAAGTCACAGAATATAACTAAGGCATCCTGAGATTCTTCCCAGGCTCAAAAAATATTTTTAACAAAATGGATACCCGAATCTGTTGTTGGGCACCCCGAGTAAACCCTTTACTTGCTATGCAATAGATTATGTATTAGAATACATTAACATTTGATTTAGAACATACATAGGAACAGAAATAGGACTAAAATTATTGGGTAGTAAAGCCGGTGGCACAAAATCGTACTTCGATCTAGACTACAGAGGCCAATGTTCAGCAGTGTGGACTCAAATAAGCGGAAATGATGATGATGAAGTACAATAAGACTATAACTACACACCGAAATGATTTTACTATGTTTCATAAGGTCAGGAAATTCGTTGCTAGGTAAGACAATATTACATCAATTATAGAACTAATCACCATGATCGGAGATCTCCCTATATAATCTACGCCTACTCCTGTGATTAATTGAAAGAATCCTGTTTTAATGAATTGCAATAAAATTATATTAAA